AGAATTTGAAGGTGATCATAACTCCCAGATGGCTTTGAACATGAACGAAGATGAATTGAATGGACAGAAAAATGAGTTGGTAAGTACCTATTTCTATTTTATATCAATAGTCTTCCAAGTTTTTGTTGTCACATTGCATTAATGATGGTGACTTACGACTGTCTGTGAAGATGGGGATAGCAAATTTTACTCATATAGTAACAGATGCACAGTTAGTGTTGGAATTGAAAAAACTTCCAAATATTAAGACGACTTTGTTTGGTCTTTTTCTAAAGCAGACTTCCCTGAAATCAAAATAAAATGCTTTCTGAAATAAAGACAGTCAAAAGGGTAGGTTTTAACAAAAAAAAAAATACATGATAAGTAACACCTCAATCCAAATTAGCTAGGTGGTGATATTTTACCCAAGGGGGTGCCTAGTAGTCGATGAAATAGGTTGAGAACCATGAATTTTCAGGTTTAAATACCAGCAGTGTGCTAAAAACACTGGGTGATTTCTTTCTATTTGTCCGAGCCTTGGTGGACAAAGTTATCTCGTAGAGGGTAAGGTGGGGAGAGGTGACATGTATTCCGAGGAGTTAGTCGAGGTGCACGCAAGCTGGCCCAGATACCATGGTTTTTTAAAAAATGAATCCTCTTTATCCTTCTACTCTACTCAACTTTATTCATTCTAGTTCAAAAGTTCTCGAAAAGGAATATCTTTCAAAATTAGCCAGTTCTGTAAAAGTCGGTACCAAAACATCGGGCAGAAACCCAAAAATAATCTTTCAAAATGTATCTAAGCACATCTTTTCCCAAAATTGTTCTCAATTTTTTCCCAAGTTCTAATTTCCCCAAAAAATTTAGACCTACCCAAAATTTGATGCCACGGGATAGATATTAGGTGGAGAGAGACCAAAAGATGTGATGTGATGTTAATCGGTTTCTCCTTCTTTTTTTCTGAGTTTATTTTTGTGGGGTGGGGTGGGTGGGGGGTATGGCAATAATGGTGGTGTCTGGACCAACTTTCACACCAACAAAGATACTTAGGCAGATAGACAGAAATCTCTGAAGCCTCTGCTATGACTTGAACCTTGGTTCTCAAGGTGTTTACTTTCACTCTCGCCTGTTAGGCAACCCCTTGGAAGCTCTAACAAGTTGTTTTCTAATGTTCATGAAAAGTTTTTTAAGGTAAAGACAAAAAGAGACTGCATGGTGAACTATTTAATGGAAGTTCTAGCTATTACAAGAGGTCTGGTACTCTGATTACCCATGGTGTAGGTACTCTGTTGGCTTAAATGGTACTTCACGGAGATTCTTTCAGCATTTGATGACTTAAGAAGCTTTTGATATTTCTTTCTAAGAGTACTAGTTGAGATTTTTTACTTTTAATTTACAACTATGGTCAGTGTTACCTATTGCCTATTACCTATATGGCTGTATGGATGGGAAGTAGCTAATATACACACGAATAGTCGAGGTACGAGTAAGCTGGCATGGACACCACATTATTAACAAAAGTTATATATAATGGTGGCATCTGTCTTAGCTTATGTGTTAAAAATATTAGGAGAACGAATGGCTGAACGGAAGGGGAAAAAGTGATGAGCAGTGCTAATGGGGCTTGAAGGCAAGATTACATAGAAATTTCAACTTCCTTGTTGAGTTTTTTCCAAATATCTAAACTAATTAAATAATCCTGTTGATGTGATGGGGAAGTCTTTACATACTACTTGATAGAGCATCCAATAATTTATATAGACAAGAATATCAGAGCTTCAAAAGTTTTTTAAGAAAATGTTATCATTAATTTATATGAAGGGAATTGTCAATTTTTTCAGACACTCTTGTTCCTTAACTCCTTGGGTCTTTTTGGACAGGACTCAATTTCTTATGCACTCTATTATGCTATGGGTAATTTGCAGATGAGAAATAGTTATGCGAGCCATTTTGGAACTTAGTCGTAAGTTGTAACCCCTTGCAGCTTGTTGTGAGCCCAAATTGGAACTTATTTCAAAATTGGCTTGGATTCTTTGATATTTGTAAGCTTGTACTCTCAAACATACTTGGTCATTACAGAAATGTCTGTTGACTAGATTGTAGGTGTACTTAATCATGAGCTAATGCTGTGGGACAATTAAAAACTAATTTCTATATGCAGAAGGTGCATTTGGATTCCAAACAGACAGTTAACATCATGATGGGTTGACTGGAAGTATTGTTCTGAAAAACTAAGTTTAGATTGTTTTGGAAAAGATTTTATGCTTTCAAAACACAACTATCAAACACTAAGTTGGCAAAAGAAACTTAAGAAGCACACAAGATTTAATTTGCATAAATATCCAGGAACAGTCATATGTGATCCAAATTACCCTGACTTTCTAGTTTAGACCCATGGTGCATTTAGTGAAGCAATGATGTCCAAAAAGAGGAATCTGGATCTATCAAAGTAGGGTTGGTGTGGGGGTGTAGAAACCTATTCTTCCATTTTCTAATTTAACCTCCTATAAGCTACATGTTTCCTTCCTGCCTTACCTCAGGTGAACTCAAAGGGAAAATTTGTGCAAGGAACCAGTGACAACAAGATCCACAGGAATCGCCAATCCTCCAAGAAACATCAGGAAGCAGCTTCATCAGATGATGAGCAGGAGGATTCCAGGAGGGGACGTTCCAAGTTGGAACGATGGACAAGCCACAAGGAAAGAGACTTTGGTAACGATGCTAAATCATCTTCCTTGAACATGAAAGATAACAATGTACACAAGGGAACCGGTACTTCATTAGCTAACAAAAATCAAGATGAAGCTTTAAAGATGGTCGAAGACAATCAACAACCTGCAGCTAACAATAAAAATGGAGCTGCCCCTGAGATTAATAGCCTAGAAACAAAACCTGTGGAGGATAAACACTTGGAGACAGTTGAGAAGTTGAAGAAGCGTAGTGAGCGCTTCAAGCTTCCAATGCCAAGTGAGAAAGAAGCTCCAGTAAGTAAAAAGGTGGAAGGTGATCCATTATCCTCAGTACAAAGCGAAACCCCTCCAGATTCAGAGGTGAAGCCTGAGCGTCCAGCACGCAGGAGGAGATGGACAAGCAATTAAATGAGAATTCAAGGAACATCTTTGTTTGATGGCTTATTTCCTTCTCATGGAGTATATGCCCTCCTTGGCTAATGTGTTACCAATGTGCACAACTTAAGGACGCCTGTACTGCTGTTGTCTATTCAGGATCTGAGGTTTGTGTAGACCTCCCATAGTAGATTTGGGAATCTGTAACCATGTTGAGATTATCTATTTGGTTTTCTTAATTCTGTAATACATGTATATACCAGTAAGCCTAACATCATAGTGGCCCATTGTTGGGGTGCCAGAATTACATTTTTGGGTATTAAATGACATTGAATTATAGTGTATGAGTAGTAGTAAACACTGTATTCGAGAACCATAGTTAGCGACTATGGCTGATAACTATGCCCTCCATGGTCATTCTTCCTTGAAGGCCACTCCCTGCCAGGAGTCTTCTGTGTTTGCTGTCACTTTTTTGGACTATGAACTTCAGGAACTAAAACTCGGTGTCTACAAGATGAAGGGACCATGGCAGAGAAGCAAATTTCAGGAGAATCTGGAACTAGGAAACAGGGACCTGAAATTGCCCTTACCCGTGTAGTATGTATCGTGGTTAACTGCTTTGTCTCTTGGAAAGTTTATTTGTTTCGCTGGAGCACAAAGTCAGAACGCGATTTTTGTATGTTGTGCTAGAGAAAAATATCTGAGTTACAGAAATTATAACAGAAGAGAAGAAAATCTTTTTACCACGCAGATGTTCTCTATTCTCTTGTAGCTTTTTCGTTTTTTTTTTTCTATAATAATTTCCTGTGGTTGACAAAGTCGAAAAATCGTAACATGAGGCTCGTCGATCGCTTATCAAGCATTGCATAAATGTTGTCTGGAAGGGTGGTGTCTACCTTGCTGAAAGTGAACATGAGGTTTGGAGATGCAACTTGCAGAAAGTGAACTTCGAAAGAAGTTTGATGAAACTGATGATTGCAGATGATAGAAATGAGCATTGAATAGAGCAGGATGCAACAATAACGACATAATGCAATGTAATTCGCATTTCGTGAAATTAGAGAGATTGTTCGATAAAGCATATCAACACAAAATTTGAAAAGGAAATACAATAGCGAGAAGATTGTATTCATCCAAAAGGAAACATTTTAGAGTTATACACGTTTTTGATGTCTTAATTATTGATAAAATTTGATTTTCTTTTGTGATATCCGATTAAGCGTATTTAACCATGAAGATTGTATTCATCCAATGTGCAATTTGATAACTCGAATAAAAAAACAAGTTATTGATTTATTGGTAATAGATTATTAGTTAGCGATTTTGGTAATGATTTTATTTTTTAATTATCAGGTTATCAGTTCTTAACAGTTTGGGGTTTTAACTTGATGTGTTAGCCGATAGCCTAATAGCAAATTAATAAATTATTTTTATATCATTCATTATATAAAGTTTTTGACTTAGAGTTTAGTTTCACACTTCTATTTCTGACTCTCTCAAATTCTCGGTTATTCTACAATGTATCGGTGTTTGCTTTTGAACATGATGCAAAATGTCATTTCATGTGTATGATTCATTTGGTTTGTCACCTTGTTTCAAGTGATTTTCAACGGGTTTTTTTGGTCAAATCTTAGCGGTTAAAGCGATAGCCGAACTAATAATTAATAATCGATAAGTCAAAATTTTAATAGTTCAATAACGATTTAGGATGATAATCGATAAGTCAAAATTTTAATAGTTCAATAACGATTTAGGATATCTTCAAATCGATAACTAATAAATCAAATTGATAACCAATAAATCAAACAGATAAACTTCAAAATCGAACCGATCGTTAGTTGGAATTTCGAGATTGCAAATAATGAGTAAATGCAAGGATAGAAACGTAAAATGAGGAGACTATAGAGTACTATAAATAAAGTCATCTCCTTCTGCGTGTGTTTTTACCATGAACTCTAGACAGAAAAAAAATGAGGCAACAGAGAGGTATTTGGGGAGTTTTAATGGTGGTTGCCCTCTCTCTGTTCGCCGGTGATGTTTCCATTTTCGCGAAGAAAACTTCAAATAAACCACCATTTATCTTTAGGGCGTCGTTTGGTACTGCTCTTGTATTGAAACTTCCGATGAAAAATCGGAAGTTTTTGCAGTATGTATGTGTTCACACACATACATCTATGTATCTATATATATATATATATTCACATACAGGAAGGAAAGGTTTAGGGTTTAAGATCTGACCCTTTTACTGTTTCTTCTTCTTCTTCTTTTTCCTCATCATCATCATCATCTGCGAATCCTTGAAAAGGGTTTTCGCGATGGTTGGAGTTGTTGTTGTTATTATTATTATTATTATTATGGTTGTTGTTGTTGTAATGCATGAGAGGCTATGATGATTAAGGTGTCTAGAGTTCATGGGGTTAAAGGAGCAGGGTCCGTATCTTGGCGGGGCGACCCGGAAGACATTTTGGTAGTGCAACCGAGGTCTGCAGCCATGGCGGATGCATTGTCTCCTTTGCTCTGATTATACAGATCTGAGCCTTAAAATCGGAAGTTACTGCAGTATGTGTATACACACATTCATTGTTCATCTCTCTCTCTATATATATATACAGGAAGGAAGAAGGGTTCAGGTTTAAGATCTGACTCTTTTGGTTCTTCGTTTTGTCATCGTCATATTCACCTTCTCCAACCCTACCACTTTGTTACGGATGAGAGGCTGTGATGATTAAGGTGTTTAGAGTTAATGGGGCAAGAGAGCTGTACCCGTATCTTGGCCGGGCAACCCGGAATGCCTATTCGTAGTGCAACCGAGGTCTGCAGGCATGGCGGGTGCATTGTCTCCTTTGTCTTGATTATACTTATCTGAGCCTTAATGAAGTCCAATACGAATAGGCTGTGATGATATAGAGCTTATTGAGTTAATCAGGTTTTGGTCAGGTCGAACCGAATCTTGGTAGGGAAAACTAAACTGTGTTGTAAATGGTGTAACGAGTATTGGGATGAAATAGGTCATAATTGAGTGGAATGGATGTTAGGGATTCATTTAGCTTATCCAACTAGATTGTTGTTTGCAGCTATGGCGGTGTCCCGATTTTGTGACATATCTGAGCCTAGTTGAGAGAATAATTGGTCGAGAATGTAAAATAAGTAGAACACTTGAGAATATGAATTAGGCAGAGCATTGTGATGGGCAGTAATATCTGAATGCTAATAGTTGTATTCTATCATGGATTCCACTTTCCATCCATGTTCCTTACTCACCGGTAAATAGAACCGAGCTGTTCTTGGCGTAGTAATGTAAATATATGACCTTTGGGAAGATCAAGTTGTTACTCTCTAGCTAAACTTTACTGATTCAGGTGTTCTTCATCAGTAAAAACCTCAGCTCAACTCGCTCTCTTATCAAAGAAGAACACAGTTTATACAACATTTCAACTGTTTGAAATCAAAGAAATGGACCTCTTCTTCCCATTCCAAGAATGATTACCTTACTAGATTTTTGTTACCAAGGGATATCGACCAATCTTCGCCTTCATTTACTTAAGTTGAAATAACGGAAGCAAGTAGGGAAAATAAGTTTTATAAATAATATTTCAAGTTGATTGTCTCCTTCCAATATTTTTGATCCCAGCCCCTTGACCACCATACTACTCTCTTCCTATCTCATTCATTACTATTGTTAAACAATTTTGTTTACTTACCGAACATAAAAAAATAAAAAAAGATATCTATTTACACACTTTTCAACCAAATATTTTCCTCACATCAGAATATCAAACCATGAACAAAAGAAAGACAATCAAACACACTCTCAGTTTCAACATCTAATGATTATTAACGAGCACCAAACAATTGCTATATCTTCTATGTGCTAACTTTGAATTCGAAGAGTGAAAATATGTATCGAACTTATTAATTAGTATAATTTTAAAAGAAAATGTGAATAGTAAAAATGTAACGCATGTAAAAGAAAGATACATGTACTATAAAATAGCAATCCAAAGATTGTGTTCTGAAACTCTGGATGGGAAAAAATGAGGGGATGGAGAGGCATTGGGGAGTTTATAATGGTGGTTGCCCTCTCTCTGTTCTTCAGCCGATGATTTCCCTTTTCTAAGTTTCACCAAAACCACCATACTTGAAAATGGTCTTATCATCTATACTAAGAGCTTGTTTGGATTGGCTAAATGTTGAGCTCTCTAATGAAGTTTTCTAGAGTTGGGTCAGGCATATTGGAGTTAGCCCGTATCTTGGCGGGGCGACGACCCGGTATAAGACATTTCCATTGTTTTGCTAACTGAGGTCTGCAGCCATGGCGGTTGCTTTGTCTCCTTTTTTGCTTGATTTTGTATTACAGATCTGAGCCTATTAACACTTTTGAAAACTGCTTCTGCTTCTTCACTTGTTGATGCTGTAACGATGACAAATGGAATTGGGCCGGGTATTGGAGCTGCACGTACTTGGCGGGGCGACCCGGTAAGGCATTTCTATTGTTTTGCAAACTGAGGTCTGCAGCCATTGCGGTTGCTTAGAACCTCAAAAGAAAAAACCATTTCAGTTTTGGCAAGTAATTATTTGTGAACCCCTTTTTGTTAGAATAGCTCAGAATGAGGCAGCAGAGAGAGTAATGGGATTTCTAATCAAGGGTGGTTGCCCTTCTCTCTGCTTTGCTTATGATTCTTCCATTTTCTAAACAAACCAACAGCCCTTAATAAAGAGAAAGAGAGAAAGATGGAGTACACACTAGTTTCTGTTGTTTTTTTCTTCCAGTCAGTTAGGTTCTGGACTCTGATTTTCTTGAGCTGAGTCTATTGGAAACAACTTCTCTAGTCCCCAAAAAGGACCGGGGTAAGGTATATGTACCGTTGCTAGCTTTTAATTATAAGATGAGGATGTGATGATAACAAATAAAGTTGTATAGAGTTAGCTTGGGCATTGGAGCCATGGCGGTTGTTTTGTTTCCTTTTGACTGGTTTTATAATGAATCTGAACCTCAGGAGAAAGAATTGGCTGAAAGACCTTGATTCTTGTGAATTCCTTTTTGTTAGGTTAGCCTAAAAAAGACAAGAATGAGGCAGTAAAGAGTATGGGATTTCTATCAAGGGTGGTTGCCCTTCTCTCTATGCTTTGCCTGTGATTCTCCATTGCTCAAAGCAAACCAACAGCCCTTAAAAGAGAAAGAGACAGAGAGATACACTTGAGTTTCTGGGTTTCTTTGCATTTTTGCACCCAAACGTATGCTCATAAGGCAATACACACAACTATGCTACAACAACCGCATGACTATTGACTATGAAAACTATTAAAGAGGCAGTGATGATTTCTGGGCTAACTGAATTTCGGGCATGGAGATTACCCACCCCGTATCTTGGCGTGGCAACCGATATGGCCTGTAATTGAGACCTCACTCATGCAATCGTGTGTTGCAGCCATGGCGTGGTTGACTTCTCTTTTGCCTTATCATAACACAAATCTGAGCCTCAATTTGCTTAAGAAAAAAGGGAAAAGGGTCAAATTTACCCCTTCACCATGACCATGCATAGGGGGCAATATCTTTTCCATGATAAATGTGGGAGATATTGAACCCACACCCTTTTCAGGAGAAGTTAAAATACTCACACTACTAAGATGCTCTCTATTTCAAGGGCTCCGAGAATATAAACTACAGTAAAACCTCTCTAAAAATTGATACTCGATAAATTAATATACTCTCTCAAATAATATTTTTCTCCTGCCCTGGCTTGGGCCAGTGGAAAAAATGACTGATTTCGATAAGATAATATATTTTTGGAAGTCCCCTATATAAATATATGGTCCCATTATCTGAAGTAACAATACAATACAATACAATGGGTAGCAACCATCCAAACAAGTTGTTATTGATTCGTTCGGTTTAGATACAAGTTATGCTAGTATGATTGACGGCTTTAAAGAGGCAATGATGATTTTAGCAACCTTTCATTTCTTTATGAGCTTATTAATCGGACATTTGAGATTATCTGGCTCGTATCTTGGCTGGGCATAACCCCAGATTTTCTGGTGATTTTTGCAGCCATGGCGTCGTTGGATCTCTTTTTGCCCGGAATGTAACACAGATCCTGAGCCTCATTTTCTGGAAACTCTTCTTTGTATAAATCTGAGGTTGCGGTTAAAACAGAGAGCTGTGGAGAGTTTTTATGGGTGGTTTTGCCCCTCTCTGTCATTCTCTGCTGCCAATGATCTCTCAAATAAAAGTGTTTCCAATTGCAAAACCACCCTTAGTTGATTGATTTATTACTCCCTCTGTTCCACTTTTTGGAGGCTATGAAGATTGTTGTTTGTGAAAGATGAATCAGACATTTTCCTCTAGAGCTAAAAGACTGTTTAGGCATTTGAACAAAATGACCTAAAGTAAGTGTGTTCTGCAACTCTAGACGGAAAAAATGAGGTGATGGAGAGGCATTGGGGAGTCTTTAATGGTGGTTGCCCTCTCTCTGTTCTTCCGCTGATGATTTCCTTTTCAAAATTTCACCAAAACCACCATAGTTGAAAAAGGTCTAATCACATATACGAGCGTGTTTGGATTGCTGGCTTATATTATGTGCTGTTGAGCTAAAATATACTCTCTCTAGTCCATATTAAAGTGAACTGAAGCACACTACTACTACTACTACTTCTCCTTCTTCCTATGAGGCTGTGATGATAACAAATGAAGTTGTATAGAGTTGAGTTGGGTTGGGTATTGGAGCTGCACGTATCTTGGCGGGGCAACCCAGTAAGGTATTCCATTTTGCAACTGAGGTCTGCAGCCATGGCGATTGATTTGTCTCCTTTTGCCTGGTTTTATAACAAATCTGAACCTTAGGAGAAAGAATTAGCCGAAAGATGCTTGAAGTCTTGTGAATTCCCTTTTGTTAGGTTAGCCTAAAAACGGCAAGAATGAGGCGGCAGAGAGTATGGGATTTCTATCAAGGGTGGTTGCCCTTCTCTCTATGCTTTACTTATGATTCTCCATTTCTCAAAACAAACCAACAGCCCTTTAAAAAGAAAGAGACAGAGAGAGTACAATTGAGTTTCTGGGTATTTTTGCATTTTGCACCCTTAAACGTATGCTCATAAGGCAATACGCACAACTATACTACAACAACAACAATAAAATGACTACGAAAACTATTAAAGAGGCAGTGATGATTTCTGGGCTAACCAAATTCCGGGCATGGAGATTACCCAACCCGTATCTTGGCGTGACAACCCGGTTTGGCCTGTAATTGAGACGCATAACTCACACATGCAATTGTGTGTTGCACCCATGGCATGGTTGGCTTCTCTTTTGCCTTGTCATTTCACAAATCTGAGCCTCGATTTGCTAAAGAAAAAAGGGAAAAGGGTCAAATTTACCCTTTTACTATGCATAAGGGGAAATATCTTTTCCATGATTAATGTGGGATATATTGAACCCACGCCCTTCTGATTTGCAGTTTTAATGCTTTTAATTCATAATGTATCTCCATCTTTTGATAAGTAACTGCTCAAGAATGAGGCATTTGAATGAAATGTTGGATTTTTGAGGGGTGGTTGCCTCCCTTCTCCGGTAATCCCCTGATTTTTTTTTCAAGTCTTGCATTTATGTTAGTTAACCATGTTCATATTTTTCTGGTGGTTGTTGCAGCCATGTTGTCATCGGATCTCTGTTTGCTTGAGCTTAATTTCTGGGAAATTAGAAAAAACTGCATAAATGGGATACTTTGAAGCTGATGTTTAAATTGTCAATGGTGAGAGAAGATGATTTTATCAATCTTTCATTCCCTTCTGAGCTTATTAATTGGGCATTTGAGATTATCCGACCCGTATCTTGGCAGGGCATGCCGCTAGTTTTTCTGGTGGTTTTTGCAGCCATGGCGATGTCGAATCTCTTTTTGCATCTGTCAAGTTGAAAGTGATCACTGTCCAACTGACAATTCATGGCAAGTTTGAGGGGCTATCTATGTATTGGCCTATCTAAAGTAACATTACAATACAATACAATGGTTAACAACCATCCAAACAAGCTCTTATTCATTTGGTTTAGACACAAGTTATGCCAATATGATTGACGGCATTAAAGAGGCAATGATGATTTTAGCAACTTATCATTCCCTTGTGAGCTTAATAATCGAACACTTGTGATTATCCAGTTTATATCTTGGCAGGGTATAACCCCAGATTTTCTGGTGGTTTTTGCAGCCATGGCGTCATTGGATCTCTTTTTCCCAGGGATATACCACAGATCTGAGCCTCATTTTCTAGGAACTCTTCTTAGTACAAGTCTGAGGTTGTGGTGAAAACAGAGAGCTGTGGAGAGTTCCTATGGGTTGTTTTACCCCTCTCTGTCATTCTCTGCTGCCAATGATCTCTCAAATGGAAGTTTTTTAATTGCAAATTCATCCTTAGTTGATTGATTTATTTATTACTCCCTCTGTTCCACTTTTTAGAGACTGTGAAGATTGTTGTTTGTGAAAATCATCATACATTTTCCTCTTGAGCTGAAAAGACTGTTGAAGCTGAGAAATTCTCTTTTAAATGCAGAATTTTGAGGTTTTTTCGTTTTAAGCTCTCTTATAAGCGAATTCCATTTATTAGGTTAGCCCAGAAATAGAGGAATGAGGATGCAGAGAGTATGGGATTTTTTTCAAGGGCGGTTGCCCCTGTCTGCTTTGCCTATGATTCTCCCCTTCTCAACAAACCAACAGCCTTTAAGAGAAAGAAAGAGCAACATAGTACTTCAGTTTCTGGTTTTCTGGATGATCATTCATGAAATTTCCCCAGTTTTCAAGTATACCACAACAATTACGCCACCTTCAGTTCTTCAGTCTGTCTTCTCTTGGCTCTTTGCATATTTGTTCCCATTTTCTCTTATTGTTAGTGGAAACTGGAAAGTGTTCCCTTATGATGCATTCTGCTACAGAAAGGGGCTATGATGATGCTTATGTATCTTGTAGTTCTGTGCTGATCATGGAACATTGAGATGAACCGACCCGTATCTTGGCGTGGCAACCCGGTGTGGCCTGTTGAGAACTTCTCTCCCTCTCATGCAATCGGTGTTTTGCAGCCATGGTGAGACTGGCTTCTCTTTTGCCATATCATTACATGCATCTGAGCCTCAATTTGTTGAAGAACATAAGTAGGCGTTTGGACATTGTTGCAGTTGAAGTTGTGAATTCTCTTAAATGCAGACTTGTGAGGTCTCTTCAGTTAAAAGCTCTCATCTAAACGAAGTCTCTTATTTTAGCAGAAATGACGAGTATGAGGCAGCAGAGAGTATGGGATTTCTTTCAAGGGTGGTTGCCCCTCTCTGCTTTGCCTATGATTCTCCCCTTCTCAATAAACCAACAGCCCTTAAAAAAAAGAAAAAGAGAAAATATATCAACTTCAGTTTCTTGGTTTCTTTGGGTCCTGTTGTTGTGATACATACTCAAAAGCCAAACACTTCAGTTTCCTTGTTTCTTCAGTCTGTCTCCTTTATGACTTTGGACTCTAAAAAAGGCAGTGATGATAACTTTTTCTAAATCTGGGCTAACCAGTTCAGGCATGGAGACGATCTGATCCGTATCTTGGCGTGGCAATCCAGTATGGCTGTGATTGCTAAAAGTGTCTACCTGGCATTATGCTACCTGTGATAAGAGTTTCTTCTCTCACACACACAACCAATGTTTTGCAGCCATGGCATCGTTGACTTCTCTTTTGCCTTATATCTGAGCCTCAATTTGCTAAGGAAAGTATATTTTTTTTATGCTTGTATATGGAATATATCGAACCCACACCTTTTTGCATACAAGTGAAGTTATATTGTTGTTCCCTCGTAATGTGTTGCCAAATCTTTTATCCGTAATAGGTCAAGAATGAGGCATTTGAGTGAAATGTGGGATTTTCGTGATGGTGGTTCCCTTCCTTCTCTGGTAAGCATATGATTTGCTTTCCTTTTTTTTTTCTTGCTTTTATTTCTGTTACCGTGTTTGTAGTTCCTCGCAAATAATGAATATGTTTGTCTGTGTGCAAACCAAGCAAATGAATGTTTTTGGGCGTGATGATGATGGGGATAAACAATTTCAGCGTTGAGGCTACTAACCCATATCTGGGCTTGGCAAATCAGTGGAATATTGACTGGTGATTTGAGTCCTCTTTCGCATGCACGGTGCACGACTGGTGTTTTGCAGCCATGGCACGGTTACCTTCTCTTTGCCTGATCGTTTCTGCAGATCTGAGACTCACCTTTTTTCGGCACCTGCAAATTTGTATCCAAAGATCAATAAAAAGCAGGCAGTTCTAGAGCAAGTGAATTTGAAAGCAGTCTCTTTTGCACACATATTGCATCAATAATTTTGCTATATCTTCAGTATTCAAATAAAATAATGAGGATATTCCTTTAGATATGTTGTTCTTAGTTTCTAGTTTTCCTCATCCATTGCAGTAATTAGCTTGGAAGTTGGAAGAATCATGGCTGAATGGTACTGTCTATAACTTTGTTTTTTTTGTCTTATGGCTTTGATGGCCTTTTGTGCATATCTTCTACTAATTTTTTTGCTCTTTGTTGGTGCCTTGGCTGGGAGATTGTTCCTTGGAAGCAGTTGTCTCTCCCACCAAAATATCGTGAAGGATTCAATGTCTTGAAACTTGGTAACACAAGACAACTCACTGATTTGTTGTTAGCTCTACCGGAGGAGTCTGAAATCAACACCTAACTGCTTGGGCATTGAGTCTGAAATCAACACGTTACATTTTTTTAAAATTGTAAGGTGCATGTCAGGTTGCACCTTACTATATACAATTTAACGACATCCACCTTCCTTACCCTTTTGATTTAATTATTTTTTGTTGTACTTTTGAAAAGTTTGCTCAATTTTTTTTTTACCCTTTTGAAAGTGTTACATTAATTAATAAAATTATTTATGACTTTGAAGGGGCTTGTGTAAGGAGAAAATGAGCAATGAGGGATAGAGGGAGTACCATTTACCTCAAAGGAATCACAAGAATACTAATGATGGACAAGTTCCCATGTCCCACATGTGTCAGTCATTTACTTGAAATTTGATCCAAATGCAGATACAAACAAGACACTTTATTTCAAAAATTGCCACTTAACCCCTCTAGATTCTTCCATGGAACAGTTTTTGGGTATATAAACCACAAAAACTCGCAAGTGAAAAAAGTAGCAAAGAAGAGGTTAGCCCAGGTAAAATGAGGCTAAACAGAGAGTTTTGGTAATTTCTTTACAAGGGTGGTTGCCCCTCTCTTGTTTAACCAATGATTTTTCCACACAAAAAAAGCAACAACCCTTGGATTCATGTTAATTTCCTGGAAATTATTGAATCATTTGTACCAGGAAAACATACATACATACGTACGTACGTACTACTATATTCCAACATATATATAGCAATTATTCTGGCTGGCTTTCTGTTTCTGTACTCTCTCAATGTTGGTTTATTTTCTCAGTTTTGATCCATTGAGGCAGTGATGATAATGCTGATGAATCTGGGCTAACCGGATCGGGCATAGAGATTATATGATCCGTATCTTGGCTTGGCAAATCACGGTGATTTCGCAGCCATGGCGTGGTCGCCTCTCTCTTTTCCTCGATCTCTTTGCAGATCTGAGCCTCTAAAAACTTAAATTTCCTGGAAATGAATGAATCGTTGAAATTGGAAATACATACATGATACCCCATGACCAATTAAAGCCAATTTACCTGTGTTTTCCTGTTTGTGATTTTGGTTGATTATATCCATAACAATAGAGGCAGTGATGATGATTTGTTTGATTTCTGGGCTAACCGTGTTGGGCGTGAAGAAAGATTATTCGACCCGTATCTTGGCTTGGCAAATTACAGTGATTTTGCAGCCATGGCGTGGTCGTCTCTCTTTTCTTTGCAGATCTGAGCCTCTAAATCATAATCTAACATCTTTAATTACTAAATGATTGATGCATTGTAAAATAATCAAAAGTTTAAGATAAGTCATAAATAAATAGAAGTATGAAATTAACTTCTAAGATGGTTTATAAATTTACCATCATTAACAAAATTGTTAAACTAGTAACTTATTATTGATAAATCAATAATTTTTATTTATTTAACTTGTTGATTTTGAATTATCTTACAATGTTCTCATAACTTCAAAATTATTGAAGCTCAATTTTTTACTACTGATTTTACATGACAAAGATGTAATTGATCACATATTTCCTTTCACTTTGATTCAGAAATAGCTATGCAAATCTCTTCTTGAGCCATTGAACATACTATTTGGACATTTTACTTTCTACTTATTGAACCTTGAAAATATTGAATCAAAGGTCCAATTTCTAATGAATTGTTTATCAAATATGAGTAATATTAATGATTGATAATGACTTGATTGACCTATGTAAGAGTACTCACCTATCTTATTAAAAAAAAAATTGGCCAGAATTTGATCTGATAAAATAACATATTTCACATTATGTTATTTTATCTTTTTAAATAATTTTATTCTTTTAATTAAAAAAAATCAATTTATTTTAAGTAAAAGAAATATTATTGACTTTTTAAATTTTTAATTAAATTTTTTGACCATTTAGTGTTAGACTCGAATTATAGTGAAAAGATAAGGGGAAAAAATAATTTATCCCCTTATTCCTACCCATTCAAGAGCATTTGGCTTCAGAATACTTTCTTCTTTTTCTTTTTCTATGGACTGCATAAATCTTATCTTCCAGCGTTACTATTTACCTAAAAAGAATCACAAGAATATTTATGGTTCCCATGTCCCACATGATGTTTCCTTGAGTCAGACATTTACTTGAAATTTGATCCAAATACAGATACAATCGACAAATTTTTGTTGTAATCGTCTAAAGAATTCATTCAAGACCGCAATAAACTATTAGAAAGAGTGTTCAATTTTTATTTGTCACATTTTGACTTGACATATTTATTAATAAAATAATTATTGATATAGATATATTATTAAACTATTTTTATTAAATGATAATTTGTAAAATAAGTATTTAATGTTGAAGGTAAAATATGAAAAAAATTATTATCTTCTTTTGATATGTTAAAAGTGACAAGTAAAAATAAAAATATATTTTATGAATAAATGACAAGTAAAATGAATGGAAGGAACATATTGTAATGAATACATTAATTAGATAGATTGTATCATTTTTCGTCGTTATATAATTTCACATATCAATATTTTGAATAATAAACATATAAAATAAGCAGGTAACAACATAGAGCTTCTATCAAAAGGATAAAAAATAATTATTAAATAATAAGTAAGATGAAATGAGAAGAAAAATACCAAATTGGTTGTTATACAAAATAAGATTTTTCATCATTACTTTAAACTATACGATAAAACTAATCATACAATACAATATAATCGATTTTGATGATTTTAAAGTGGCCTTTTACATTTTTAAATAAGTATCCATTAGACATAAGAAAAATGATAATAACATCTTTATTTTATATAAATATATGTAAATTGAGCTTTTTTAAATAACAAAAATATCTATATTTAAATATATAAATATGTGAGTCCATAAAATAGAAATTACTTAACAATTTTACTCAAAAAATATCACATAACCCCCTCTAAATTATTCCCTACAATAGTTTGTGTTTTGTATATTATATAGGCCAAATCCATATCCTTTAAAGTTGACACCAAATTTTAAGTATACATTATAACTAGGCGATATTCATTTTAGACGATTCTGATTATGTCATTTTGACATTTTTGGTGACAAGTTTCATTTATAATAATTCACCCACTTCAAGAGCTAGTTTTTTGTATATATAAAACAAGAAAAAAGGCAAGAGTTGAAGGTGGAAGATCATTTTCCCAAGCAAAGAAAAGGTTAGCCCAGAGAGAAAAAAAGAGGCAAAACAGAGAGTTTTGGATTTTCTTGACAAGGGTGGTTGCCCCTCTCTTGTTTAGCCAATGATTTTTCCAGAAGCAACAACCCTTGAATTCATGTTAATTTCCTGGGAATTATTGGAACATGCATGCCATACAAACATACATATATTCCTCAACTTTCCAATTCTACATCTATGCCATTCTGTTTTTGTTAATTAATTAATTACTCTCTCTGTCTATCTTGGTTGGTTTTCTCAGTTTTGATCCATTGAGGCAATGATGATAATGATGATGATTCTGGGCTAACCGGATCGGGCATGGAGAATATACGACTCGTATCTTGGCTTGGCAAATCTGATGGTGATTTTGCAGCCATGGCGTGGTTGTCTCTCTCTTTGCTCCGATCTCTTTGCAGATCTGAGCCTCTAATATCATAATCAAACAACTTTTGGATTCATGCATGTTTACCTGGAAATGAATGAATTATTGAACATGGAAAATTGTGCTTTTTCTTCTACTGTGGTTACAACTCTGTTGCTCTGTGTTTGTTGAATAATTTTGATCCAAATAATTAGAGGCGATGATGAAGATAATGATTTCTTCGGATTCTGGGCTAATCGGGTCGGGCATGAAGACTATACGACCCGTATCTTGGCTTGGCAAATCACGGTGATTTTGCAGCCATGGCGTGGTCGGCTCTCTTGTGCCTCGATTTCTTTTGCAGATCTGAGCCTCTAAATTCATAATCAATAACTTTTGGATTCATGCAAATGGAAAATGTTTTTTTCTTCATACAAAACTCTGTTTTTCGTCTTTGTTTGTTTATTTTCTCATTTTTTATCCATAAAATTTGAGGCCGTGATGATGATGATCTCATCGGATTCCCAGATAACTGGGTTGAGATTATCCGACCCGCATCTTGGCTTAGCAAATCACCGGTCAGCCAGCTAGACTCGAACCCACAATCTCTGATTCATTTTTTTTTTTTTTCGTATAGTGTCTCGAATCTATAATCTTAAGGTTGAACGCAAAAATGCTTAAAATCTGAACAACTTTCGTGGTTGATCTGAACCTCTAGATACTTGAGACAGAACTAAACTTGTGCGCATGTCTTACTGAGTAGTGATGAAAACATAAGAACTAATAAGAAAAGTAATGCAAAAGCCTATAAAAAAAAAGATATGAACAACAAAATAGTGTGTATAAACATCAACAAGTCTGAACCCTCGAAAATAAAAGCTATCTACTAATTCTCAATCAACTTCAAGTTTATTTCATGTTTTGATTGAATTAAATTTGTAAATAAATTGTTTTGAAATTATAATATTTATTTTATTCATATTAAAAGTAGGATAACAATTTCAAAATAATTAATTTCAAAACAATTATTTACGAGCCATTGACCAATTTGTTTAGATGACTATTATTTATTATTTCATAATGTATCATATTGGATTATAGTGTGTTGTATTGTATTGTATTACATTGTTTAGTAAATACAATGTTTGAATAAATTATTGTTTTTCATTGTTATATAATGTCATGTATTAATAATTTGATTGATAAAACCTATCAGAAATTGTAGTGTATAAAGTTGAGTTATTATGAAAAGATAAATGATAGATTAGAATTATTAAATAGTAAATAAAAATAAAGTAAGAAGAAAATATTAAGGTAATAGTGCGATCACACCAAATCGATCGTTATACAACATGTCTTTTTTTTGTTATCAAAATTTAAGTAACAATTAAAACAAATATTGTATTTAGACTAATACAATACAAGGCAACAATCACCCAAACAAGGTGTAAAATTGCTTATCTTCCGATTCTCTTCATTAAATTTTACACTAAATAGTAATGTTGTCTTTATATTCTTCTCTTTTTAATATTATATTATTATTTTTATTTTATTTATATTTTCAAAAATATTATATAATACAAATAATAATAAAATAATGAAAAAATGGTTTTGAACTGTACTGTTTTTTTTTAACCTCATGATAACCCGCAACCGCTACAACCTCTGTCACATCCTTTGTCCTTTGGTTGAGCACTTTGTGCACACTAGGTAAACCCTCCCACACAGAGAATGTAAACCGCATTAGGCAAATCCTATGTGATAGACTCGACTCATAAGACATTAAGGGGGATCGATCCCGGGTCATCCGTATGGATAACCACCCTCCAAACCAACTAAGTCATCTCGAAGGACATGAAAGTAGTGTTGATGGCACTATTTACACGCTATTTTGTTTGGATGGTTGTTATATACTGCTTCATAATATATCACATTGTGTTGTATATGTATCGTAATATATTATTTTACTGATTATAATGTTTGGATAAATTGTGTCATTTTTCGTCGTTACTTAATAATTTAGATGATAAATCTACAAGACATTGTAGGGTACATGATAGATCTACTATAAAAAGATATGATAAAATAGAATTATTAAATAACAAATAAAGACAAAACAAAAAGAAAATATTAAGATAAAGACGCAATCACACCATATTGATAGTTACACAAAATAAGTCTTTTTATTGTTACATAACGATGAATTCAAACAGTACGATATAACATAATTTAAGTAACAATCAAAAAAATTCTATTATATTTAGACTGATAATACAATACAATACAATAGGTAACAACTAACGAAGATCCAAACAATGTCTAAAATAGTGTAAATAAAAATAGTGGTTTTTGAAGTCCACAACACTATATTTTACACTAAAATAGGATTTGGCATAAAAAATAGTGTTGGTTGGAGATGGTCTCACAGGAGAAATCCGAAAAGTTCAGAGACAAAAAGAATGAGGATTTGCAGAGAGTTGAAGAGAAAAGTTCAAAGGGCTGTTGCTTGATTTCAATTTTTGCTGAAAAAAAATGATAATTTCAACAGCATTTTTGCAGTTAAACACCTAGCAAACGACGCCTTTGCTCGAATCATATAGTAATAATAATAATAATAATTGTTGCGAAAATACTGAGGCTGTGATGATGATTTTCTTCGTTTTTTTCTCTGAGCAAATTGATAGTGCAGGAGAGCATTTGGACCCGTATCTTGGCGGGGCAACCCGGATGGAAGGTGACCTAGAAACCGGTGCTTGCAGCCATGGCGGTGATTTGAGTCTCTCTTTGCTGTATTGTAAGTATTACATATCTGAGCCTCATTGATTTTTATGAACTGCAGCTGTGAAATTTCCCATAAAAGGAAAAAAAGCTTAGTCCAGAAAAGTGAAAGGTCATAGACGAAGAATGAGGGTTGCGGAGAGTAGAGGGGAAATTCAAAGGGCTGTTGCTCCTCTCTGCAATACCTGTGATTTCATTTTTGCTGTGAAAAAAAGAATCTTTAATAGCCCTTTTGCGGTTAAACAGCTATATGCTTGTTCTCTCCAATTTCTCAAATCCAAAGGGATAATCAATAGTAGTAGTAGTAGTAATAATTGATGCGAAAATTATAAGGCTGTGATGATGATTTTCTTCTTTCTCTGAGCAAATGGACAATGGAGAGCAATTGGACCCGTATCTTGGCGAGGCAAGCCGGATGGAAGTATATCAGAACCGGTGCTTGCAGCCATGGCGGTGATTCCAGTCTCTCTTGCCGTGTTGTAAGTACTACAGATCTGAGCCTCATTGTTTCATTTGCTGAAAGTGTGTCTGAAACAATCTTTGGAGTGAGATTACACTGGGTTTTGTTGTTGTTGTTATTGTTGTTGCGTCTGCGAGTTTGTCCGTTAAAGGAAAAAAGCTTAGCTCAGAGACAAATAATGAGGATTGCAGAGAGCAGAGGGGAACACTTCAAAAGGCTGTTGCTCCTCTTTGCAATACCTGTGATTTCAATTTTTGCTGTGAAAAAATATAAATTCAACAGCCCTTTTCAGTTGAACAACTACCAAATGACCCCTAAATCTTTGCTTGTTCTCTCGAAATTCTCAACCCCAAAGTGAGAATCAATAGTAGTAGTAATGATAATAATAATAATTGTTGCAAAAATTCTGAGGCTATGATGATGATTTTCTTCTTTCCCTGAGCAAATCGATAGCGCATGAAAGAAATCGGACCCATATCTTGGCGGGGGCAACCTGGATTTCAGGTTACCTTGCAATCGGTGCTTGCTGCCCTGGCGGTGATTCCAGTCTCTCTTGCCATGTTGTAAGTATAACAAATCTGAGCCTCAATGTTTCATTTGCTGATAGAGTATCGGAAACAATCTTGTTACCTCCACAAAGTAGGAGTTAGATTATGCTGGGTTGTCGTCGTTGTTTCAGCTGCGAAATTCGCAGGTCGAAGAACTCATGAGAATTTCTCCGTTCAAGGAAAAAAAGCTTAGCTTAGAGACGAAGAATGAGGGTTGCAGAGAGTAGAGGGGAACATTTCAAAGGGCTGTTTCTCCGCTCTGCAATACCTGTGATTACAATTTTTGCTATGAAAAAACATGAATTCAACAGCCCTTTTCAGTTAAACAACTACCAAACGACCCCTTAATCTTTGCTTGTTCTCTCGAAACTCTCAACCCCAAAGTGAGACTCAATAGTAGTCATAATAATAATAATTGGCGAAAATTCCGAGGCTATGATGATGATTTTCTTCTTCCTCTGAGCAAATCGATAGTGCAGGAAAGAGATTGTACCTGTATCTTGGCGTGGCAATCCAGATGACAGGTTACCCTGCAACCGGTGCTTGCAGGCATGGCGATGATTCCAGTGTATCTTGCCGGATCGTCAGTATTACAAATCTGAGCCTCAATGTTTGATTTGCTTAGGGTCTATTGAAAATCGCTTCTTGACCTCCACAAGGTGGAGGTCAAATTATACTGGGTTGTTGTTGTTGCAGTTGGGAAATTCGCAGGTCGAAACACATATGAGAATTTCCCATAAAAGGTAAAAAGCTTAGCCTAGAAAAGTAAAAGTTCAGAGACGAAGAATGAGGGTTGCAGAGAGCAGAGAGGAAGTTCAAAGGGCTGTCACTCCTCTCTGCAATACCTGTGATTTCAGTGTTGCTGTGAAAAAAGAAAAATTCAACAGCTCTTGTTGCAGCTAAACAGCGACCAAATGACCCTTAAGTCTTTGCTTGTTCTCTCCAAATTCTCACACCCAGTTATAATAATAATAATTGTTGCGAAAATTCTGAGGCTGTGATGTCGATTTTCTTCTTTCTTTGAGAAAATCAATAGTGCGGGAGAGCAATTGGATCCGTATCTTAGCGGGGAAACCCGGATATCTTAAACTTAAGGTGCCCTTTAATATTGTGGTTTTAAAGATGTCATGTGGAAAGTTAGAATTAAGTGTTGCCAAAAAAGTAAAGAGACATTCTTTTTGGAACAAACCAAAAAGGGAAGACAAACAAGTTGAACCGGAGAGAGTATTTATTTTCTATCATTTGGATGGATGAGGCTGTGATGATGATTTTCTTCTTTCTTTGAGCAAATCAATAGTGCGGGAGAGCAATTGGATCTGTATCTTAGCGGGGCAACCCGGAGATCTTAAACTTAAGGTGCCCTTAAAGAAAGCAAAAAGTTCAGAGAATTTCTTTGGAAGATGAAACAGACATATTCTCATTGAGCTAGAAAAGACTCTATCTTGATGTGCAGATGGGTCTGTGAGAAGTGGAGGAGAAAGCTCCATTTTTGGTCTTCCTTTTCTGTCTCATAAGTTAGCTAACTGATGCTTGAAGCCATAGTGTTTTTTTGAAGTTTGGTTTTTTCCTGAGAGAAGGCGAATCTGAGCCTATTCCAACAACAAAAACAGCATGCCCAGTATAAGCTTACCGAGTTCCTAGAGGTGCTTTTTCCATACGAGTGTGCCTAAAAATGTTTTCTTTTGACTAGAACTCTATGAATGTCAACGTCTATTTTTGTGTTTCTTTGTTTTGATAAATATGTTCCTTTTTAATATTTAAAACTACCCTATTTTCAATTATAATGAATAGGGAAGCGCTTTCTCTGAGATAAGTGTGCCTTAATGTCATCCCTTGTTTTTGAACTCTGTATAGTAATTACAAAGCCTGTGCCCAGAAATGTATTCCTTTGTCTAGAAATCTAGGCATTTGAGTACTAACATATATTTTTGAGTTACTTTGTTGCGGATATGCTTAGTTTTCTTATAGGTGAAAGTTCATAATTTCGTCAACCTGACCTGTTGTAGTTTAAACTGTAATTTGATTGTTCATTTTTTAACATGATGTAATACAACTGCATCAATTTATGCAGGAGCACCACAGTTAGTGTTAGAATACGAGCCAAATCATAAATCTTTTGTGAGCAAGACAGTGTATTTATAAATCATATTGGGAGTAAGATCATTTTATAGTTTATGCAAATTTTGCAGTTATTGCTTGTTTTGTGGATACCACTAATTTTTGAGGTTTTTTCCGTCCTACCTAGGTTTTTTTTGGGCACACTAGTGATTGACCTCATTACCTAAACAATAAATCAATACTTCTAGTCTTTATTCTGTGCATGAAGGAATTCAATCCTAAATGATGAGTAATTTAAGTAAGCCATGGATTAACATCCAAATGAAGCTTTCTGTCATAGTTACTCTGATAGATGACCTCTATTGTCAAGACTACTTAAGAAGAAGTTTCACTAGTTGATTTTATGCTTCATGACTATGAAAAAACATGACTATTATGAAAAGTCGATCTCTTAAGTTTTATAAATATAAGGACTCTCTAGAAGTAGCCCAAAAAGAAAAATATGCATGTATATACAAGGACTTTGTTGTATCTTGAAGGCAATTGCTTGTATTTTTCCCAATATGTATACGGGCAATATCTCTTTAAGGAAAGCGATTCTTCATGCCTTAAAGCCATTTTCTTCTTCAATTATATTTCCTATAATTTTTCTAACAGTTGCTTATATTGCTTCGGATGGCTTGGAAGAGGCGATGATGATTCTTGTAACTTTATTCCCTTCTGAGCTGATTAATTGAGCATTGGAGGTTATCCGACCCGTATCTTGGCGGGGCATGCTGTTTTTTGCAGCCATGGCGTGGTTGGACTCTCTTTATACTCTAGTTTAACACAGATCTGAGCCTCAATGCACTGGTCTCTTCGTCAATTTTAAACTGAGGGAGTAGTATTACCAGCTTCAGGGTACTATAAGAATGAGGCTAACAGGGAGTTTGAGGATTTTCGTTGAAAGGGTGGTTGCCTCTCACTGCAGTCAGTCAATGATTTCTCCATTATTGTAAGAATCCCAACAACCCCTTATCAATTTTAAACAGAGGAAGTATATGATTATCAACTTTTGTTTGAAATGGGTTTCTATATGCCCTTCCAACTCTTTTTTTAAACTCCTTTTTAATGGTTCCGCCGGATCATTGATTGTTGCCACTGGAGCTGGTGGAAGCAATGGTGCTGAGAATAATTGGACAGCTTGAAAGAGGCAATGATGATTTTTGCCAATGTTTGTTCCCTTCTGAGCTGATTAATCAGGCATTTGAGGTTATCCAACCCGTATATTGGCGGGGCATGCTCCCAGATTTTCTGGTGGCTTTTGCAGCCATGGCCTGGTTGGAATCTCTTGTTGCCTGAGCTTAACCCAAATCTGAGCCTCAAATTTTTCTCTGTTCAGCTTGGCTTTTTTTGTTATATTTAGGGTGTGTTTGGTATGAAGGAAAATGTTATCGAGAGTTGAGATACAAAAAACAAAAAGCTCAGAAGGGAATGAATGAGGCTACAAAGAGTTGAGGATTTTTCATTGCAAGGGTGGTTGCCTCTCTCAACATTCAGCCAATGATTTCTCCATTACTGTAAGGATCCCAACAATCCTTTTATCAATTTTAAACGGAGGGAGTATATATATTACAGCTTGTTTGGATTGTTGTTACATATTGTTTCAGAGGTTTTTATGCCCTTCAGCCTTTCTTTTCAACTCCTTTTTAATGCTTCTGCCGGAGCATTGAATGTTGCCGGTGGAGCTGGTGGAAGCTATGGTGGTGAGTATAATCGGACGGTTTGAAAGAGGCGATGATGATCTTTGTCAATTTTATTCCCTTCTAAGCTGATTAATTGAGCATTTAAGGTTATCCGACCCGTATCTTGGTGGGGCATGCTGGTTTATGCAGCCATGGCGTGGTTGACTCTCTTTTTGCTCGATCTTAACACAGATCTGAGCCTCAATTTAGCGGTCTCTTTGTTAATTTTAACTGAGGGAGTATTGTTAACAGCTTCAGGGTACTATAAACAAAAGCTTAGAAGGAAAAGAATGAGGCTAACAGTGAGTTTGAGGATTTTTCATTGGAAGGGTGGTTGCCTCTCTCTGCTTTCAGCCAGTGATTTCCCCATTACTGTAACAATCCCAACAGCCTTTTTATCGATTTTAAACAGAGGAAGTATATAATTAACAACTTTTGTTTGAAATGGGTTTCTTTGCCTTTCAACTCTTTTTTTTTTCTTTTTTCTAATGCTTCTGCCGGAGCATTGATTGTTGCCGGTGGAGCTGGTGGAAGCAATGGTGCTGAGTATAATCGGACGGCTTGAAAGAGGCGATGATGATTTTTGCCAATTTTTATTCCCTTCTGTGCTGATTAATTGGGCATTTGATGTTATCTGACCACCCGTATCTTGGCGGGGCATGCTCCCAGATTTTCTGGTGGCTTTTGCAGCCATGGCGTGGTTGGAATCTCTTGTTGCCTGAGCTTAACACAAATCTGAGCCTCAAATTTTTCTCTGTTCAACTTGCCTTTTTTTGTTATATTTAGGGTATGTTTGGTATGAAGGAATATGTTATCGAGAGTTGAGATACACAAAACAAAAAGCTCAGAAGGGAATGAATGATGCTACAAAGAGTTGAAGATTTTTCATTGAAAGGGTGGTTGCCTCTCTCAACATTCAGCCAATGATTTCTCCATTACTGTAAGGATCCCAACAACCCTTTTATCTATTTTAAACGGAGGGAGTACATAAATAACAGCTAGTTTGGATTGTTGTTACATATTGTTTTAAGGGTTTCTATGTCCTTCAACTCTTTTTTTCAACTCCTTTTTAATGCTTCCGCCGGAGCATTGAATGTTGCCAGTGGAAGCGATGTTGGTGAGTATAATCGGATGGCTTGAAAGAGGTGATGATGATTTTTTGCCAATTTTTGTTCCCTTATGAGCTGATTTATCGGGCATTTGAGATTATCAGACCTGTATCTTGGCGGGGCATGCCACCAGCTTTTCTGGTGGTTTTTGCAGCCATGGCATGGTTGGACTCTCCTTTTGCCCAAGCTGAGCTGATTAATTGGGCATTTGAGGTTATCAGACCCGTATCTTGGTGGGCCACCAGTTTTTCTTGTGGTTTTTGCAGCCATGGCATGGTTGGACTCTCCTTTTGCCCAAGCTTAACACAGATCTGAGTCTCAATTTTTCTCTATTCAGCTTTGGGTTTTTTTTTTTTTGTTTAATATCAAGGGTGTGTTTGATATGAAAGAAAATGTTTTCAAGAGTTGAGAAACAAATGTCAAAAATCTCAGTAGGGAAAGAATGAGGCTACAGAGAGTTGAGGATTTTTCATTGTAAGGTTGGTTGCCACTCTCTGCATCAGCTAATTTTTTCTCTCTTGATGTAAGAACCCCAACAACCGTTTTATAAATTTTAGGAAAAACTACCTAATTAGACACACACACACACACACACACACATATATATATATACCATATCAATCTAACCTATACTTCCATGCTGTGACCATACAGTGCATTCTCTTTTCTCTAATGCTTCTGCCGGAGCATTGATTGTTGCTGGTGGAAGCGATGGTGCTGAGTATAATCGGATGGCTTAAAAAAGGCAATGATGATTTTTGCCAATGTTTATTCCTTTCTGAGCTCTGATTAATTGGGCATTTGAGGTTATCCAAACTGTATCTTGGCGGGGCATGCTCCCAGATTTTCTGGTGGTTTTTGCAGCCATGGCGTTGTTGGACTCTCTTGTTTCCCGAGCTTAACACAAATCTGAGCCTCGATTTTTCTCTATTCAGCTTGGCTTTTTTTTTTGTTATATTTAGGGTGTGTTCCGTATGTAGGAAAATGTTTGAGTTGAGAAACAAAGCAAAAAGTTCTGAAGGGAATGTTGCTCCTCTCTGCAATACCTGTGATTTCATTTTTGCTGTGAAAAAAAGAATCTTTACTAGCCCTTTTGCTGTTAAACAGCAATATGCTTGTTCTCTCCAATTTCTCAAATCCAAAGGGATAATCAATAGTAGTAGTAGTAGTAATAATTGATGGGAAAATTATGAGGCTGTGATGATGATTTTCTTCTTTCTCTGAGCAAATGGACAATGCGGGAGAGCAATTGGACCCGTATCTTGGCGAGGCAACCCGGATGGAAGTATATCAGAACTGGTGCTTGCAGCCATGGCGGTGATTCCAGTCTCTCTTGCCGTGTTGTAAGTACTACAGATCTGAGCCTCATTGTTTCATTTGCTGAAAGTGTGTCTGAAACAATCTTTGGAGTGAGATTACACTGGGTTTTGTTGTTGTTGTTATTGTTGTTGCGTCTGCGAGTTTGTCCGTTAAAGGAAAAAAGCTTAGCTCAGAGACAAATAATGAGGATTGCAGAGAGCAGAGGGGAACACTTCAAAGGGCTGTTGCTCCTCTTTGCAATACCTGTGATTTCAATTTTTGCTGTGAAAAAATATAAATTCAACAGCCCTTTTCAGTTGAACAACTACCAAATGACCCCTAAATCTTTGCTTGTTCTCTCGAAATTCTCAACCCCAAAGTGAGAATCAATAGTAGTAGTAATGATAATAATAATAATTGTTGCAAAAATTCTGAGGCTATGATGATGATTTTCTTCTTTCCCTGAGCAAATCGATAGCGCAGGAAAGAAATCGGACCCATATCTTGGCGGGGGCAACCTGGATTTCAGGTTACCTTGCAATCGGTGCTTGCTGCCCTGGCGGTGATTCCAGTCTCTCTTGCCATGTTGTAAGTATAACAAATCTGAGCCTCAATGTTTCATTTGCTGATAGAGTATCGGAAACAATCTTGTTACCTCCACAAAGTAGGAGTTAGATTATGCTGGGTTGTCGTCGTTGTTTCAGCTGCGAAATTCGCAGGTCGAAGAACTCATGAGAATTTCTCCGTTCAAGGAAAAAAAGCTTAGCTTAGAGACGAAGAATGAGGGTTGCAGAGAGTAGAGGGGAACATTTCAAAGGGCTGTTTCTCCGCTCTGCAATACCTGTGATTACAATTTTTGCTATGAAAAAACATGAATTCAACAGCCCTTTTCAGTTAAACAACTACCAAACGACCCCTTAATCTTTGCTTGTTCTCTCGAAACTCTCAACCCCAAAGTGAGACTCAATAGTAGTCATAATAATAATAATTGGCGAAAATTCCGAGGCTATGATGATGATTTTCTTCTTCCTCTGAGCAAATCGATAGTGCAGGAAAGAGATTGTACCTGTATCTTGGCGTGGCAATCCAGATGACAGGTTACCCTGCAACCGGTGCTTGCAGGCATGGCGATGATTCCAGTGTATCTTGCCGGATCGTCAGTATTACAAATCTGAGCCTCAATGTTTGATTTGCTTAGGGTCTATTGAAAATCGCTTCTTGACCTCCACAAGGTGGAGGTCAAATTATACTGGGTTGTTGTTGTTGCAGTTGGGAAATTCGCAGGTCGAAACACATATGAGAATTTCCCATAAAAGGTAAAAAGCTTAGCCTAGAAAAGTAAAAGTTCAGAGACGAAGAATGAGGGTTGCAGAGAGCAGAGAGGAAGTTCAAAGGGCTGTCACTCCTCTCTGCAATACCTGTGATTTCAGTGTTGCTGTGAAAAAAGAAAAATTCAACAGCTCTTGTTGCAGCTAAACAGCGACCAAATGACCCTTAAGTCTTTGCTTGTTCTCTCCAAATTCTCACACCCAGTTATAATAATAATAATTGTTGCGAAAATTCTGAGGCTGTGATGTCGATTTTCTTCTTTCTTTGAGAAAATCAATAGTGCGGGAGAGCAATTGGATCCGTATCTTAGCGGGGAAACCCGGATATCTTAAACTTAAGGTGCCCTTTAATATTGTGGTTTTAAAGATGTCATGTGGAAAGTTAGAATTAAGTGTTGCCAAAAAAGTAAAGAGACATTCTTTTTGGAACAAACCAAAAAGGGAAGACAAACAAGTTGAACCGGAGAGAGTATTTATTTTCTATCATTTGGATGGGGGTGGCTGGCATATGCTTTCCACCTTTCTAGCCGGAGAGAGTATTTATTTAAAATCATTTGGATGGGGGTGGCTGGCATATGCTTTCCACCTTTCTAGGCTATGTTCAATCATGGCAATTGAGAAAATCTCCGACCCGTATCTTGGCAGGGCGACCATGTTACGGTTTTGAATAGCAAACTGATGTCTGCAGCCATGGCAGCGTCGATCTTCTCTTTTGCTTTATTCAAATACAACAAATCTAAGCCTTCAATAACCCATTTGGGACGAAAAACCTATTACGGGTTTGCTCTGAAATTTCAGCTCTGAAGAATGAGGCATCAGAGAAATTGGGATTTTGTGTAAGGGTGGTTGCCCATCTCTGCTTTGCCAGTGCTTTCGTCATTGATAACCAAAAAAACCAACAGCCCTTTGAAATAAACAAAAAGAAAAAGAAGAAGAAAACAATTGAAAAAACCTCATTCGAACAAACCCCTATACTCTTCTTGCTCGTCCTCTGTCTCTTTGTGCTGCTGATGTTGTAAAGGGGCTGTGATGATTGCTTCCTTCCTTTCTAGGCTATGTTCAATCATGGCATCTAGAGAATATCTGACCCGTATCTTGGTAGGGCAACTCAGTACAGCTTTGAATAGCAAACCGGTGTCTGCAGCCATGACGTCGTCGCTGTTCTCTTTTGCTTTGTTCAAATACAGCAAATTTGAGCCCTCAATAACCCATTTCATGGTTTTCGGTGTTGAGTCTTCTCAGGTGGAAAAACCCATTACGGGTTTATCTCTGAAGAGTGAGGCATTGGAGAGATGGGAAACTCGAAGGTGAAAAAATAAAAATGAGGCAAAACAGAGAGTATTTGGATTTTTCTTTGAAGGGTGGTTGCCCCTCTCTGTTGCGCCATTGATTGTCCTCCATTTTCAAACAACCAACAGCTCTCGAAAAAGCAGAAGCAGAGAGGATTTAGGTCATATATACGGTCGTTCACCTATGTTTGTGTGTATTGTTTTTTCGGGCGTGATGGCCCTTTTATCAATTTCAAATGGAGGGAGTATTTAATTAAATGCTCGTTTGGATTGTTGTTACATATAGTTTCAAAGGGTTTCTATGCCCTTCAACTCTTTTTTTTTCTTCTTTTTTCAATGCTTCCGCCGGTGCATTGGATGTTGCTGGTGGAACTGATGCTGGTGAGTATAATCGGTGGCTTTAAAGAGGCAATGATGACTTTTGTCAGATTTTTATTCCCTTCTGAGCTGATAATAGGGCATTTGAGGTTATCCTACCCGTATCTTGGCAGGCATGCTCCCAGATTTTCTGCTGGTTTTTGCAGCCATGGCGTTGTTGGACTCTCTTGTTGCCCGAGCTTATCAAAGATCTGAGCCTCACTTTCTCCATCGGTTTAGTTAAATGAACAAAACAAAAGCTCCAAAGCGAAAGAACGAGGCTACAGAGAGTTTAGGGATTTTTCGTTGAAAGGGTGGTTGCCTCTCTCTGCATCAGACAATGATTTCTCCATTACTGTAAGAACCCCAGGTCCCCAACAACCCTTTTATCAATTTTAATGAAGGGAGTAATATTAACAGTTTGTTTGGATGGTTGTTTACATATCATTACAAATGGTTTCTATACCCTTTCATGCTATGCCATCTCTTTTCTCTAATGCTTCTGCCGGAGCATTGAGTGCTGGTGTTGGAAGCTGTGTGGTTGAGTATAACCGGTGGCTTGAAAGAGGCAGTGATGATTTTGTCAATTTTTAATTTCCTTCTGAGCTGAATAATCAGGTATTTGAGACCATCTGGCCCGTATCTTTGCGGGGCATGCTCCCAGACTTTCTGGTGGTTGTTGCAGCCATGATGTTGTTGGATTCTCTTGTTGTCCGAGCTTAACACAGATCTGAGCTTCACTTTCTCTATCAATTGGGAAACTATTATTAGGGATTGTTGAGTATTGAAGGCTATGTTGATAATTTTTTTCGTTTCTTTTTTTGAGCAACTCAATAGGGCAAAGAAAATAGAGTGATCGAATCTTGGTGAGGCAATCCGGAAAACTTGTGATTTTGTGTCATGCAACCGGTGTTTGCAGCCATGAGGTTGTCTTCATTCTCTTGTCTTATCGACAGATCCAAGCCTAAGTTTTACTCTTAATGTGTCTTTGGTATGGTAGAAATATTTTTCATGATGAAATCAACAATTAGTTACCATTGTATTCTATGAGGAGAAAAGTTGTGAATTTTTCAGGTGACATATATCTCAATGATGATTATAATGTCACTCTATGGGTTAACAAATTCGGGCTCTGAAGATGATCCAATCCATATCCTGGCCTGGCAAATCCCAGGATGGCATGCAATTGAGGCTCTCTTTTTTGCATGCAACCGGTGATTTTGCAGCCATGGCGTGGTAGCTTTCTCTTTTTAAAAAAGGGAGAAGGATCAAATATGCCATTGAACTTTGAGAAAAGGCTCATTTATGCCATCCATTAAAAGTTTGGCTCATCTATACCATTTCCGTTTGAGAAAAGGCTCATCCATGCCATTATTTGTTAATTGAAAAAAGTTTCGGTTTTGCAAAACCATTTATTACATGTGGTCAATTATGATTCAGCCATGTCATTTATTAAATCATTTTTTTAATAGGAAAAGGCTCAAATATGCCACCGAGCTTTGAGAAAAGGCTCATTTATGCCATTTCCTGAAAGAGGCAGTGATGATACTTGTTCATGGGGCCATTTGCGACCTTTTCTAAGGTCGCTATTTAAATTTGTCCTCATTTCCATCCGAGCATTGGGGCATCCCGCCCGTATCTTGGCTTGGCAAACACCGGAATGGTCTGTGATTTGAGGTTTCTCTTCACATGCAATTGGTTCTATTGCAGCCATGGCTTGGTTGCCCCATCAGAAACTGAGAAACTGAGATCTGAGCCTCATTTTCTAAATTTCTTTTTGACGACCTGCTGGGGAATCGAACACGCAACCTTCTTTAATGGAAACTCATTTTGCCTTGTTTCAAAGAGAAGTTGGATTTTCCCTTCTCTTGATGTTGCAAGTCTGTGGAATTCTTTTCACAGGAGATAACAACATCCCTTTAATGCAACCATTGATTAGTCTTCAATGGAAGGTTGCTCTCTGGATTTGGGATTCTTCAGTTTTATGTGTTAGACTGACGTGATAACCAACTACCACCACGTCGTTTCTGCTCAATGGATGAGGCTTTGGGGGATCAGATGATTCTCAGAGTGGATGACCATCTTCGACATGCAGGTGCTTTCTTTTTACTCTAAACCAGGCAACCTTTTTTGTAATGTTTCTGCATATAAGTATATTTAGATTTGTATGTTTCAGTTGTCGTAATTTGTCTGAACTGGCTGTTCCAAAGCAATGAACTCAAAAAGGGGAAATAACAGGGCTGAGCTAATTAACAACAGGCATTAGATTTTTGTAACCGTATCTTGGCATGACAACTTGAATTTCTGTGATTTGTTTGCAGGCATGACAGGTTTCCAGAAATTTCAGTGCTCCAGATACAAATCTGAGCCTCCAGTTGAGAGCAAAGCATTAACATAGTAATAGTAGTACTTGGACCCTCAGTCTGATTTATGAGCTTAATTCTAATTTCTAAGTATCCTAATATCTTGAAAATTATGCAACCATTTTCTCAAAGTGGCAGTGATAATATTTGCTTATCTGGGCTTTGGGAATAAAGACAATCAGACCCGTATCTTGCCTTGGCAAACCCCAGTTGCTATGTGATTTAAGGCTTCTCTTTCACATGCAACCGGTACTTTTGCAGCTGCAGCGTGGTCTCTTTCTCTGTTCCCCATTGATAGGTCAGATCTGAGCCTCAAATTTGCAAGTAGTCCTGGACATTTGTTTGGTGGAAACGAAATCCATTTCACTTATTTTGAAAGCCAGCTCAATGAGGCATCATGAGAAACGCAAACTATTTATTTATTATTCATTCATTCAGTTTTGCTAGTAAGCCCACGATTTTTTGCTGCTGCATGGCTGCATGAACACCTAAACAGCGAGAATCATACTAGAAAAAGGTGAAATTGAGGCAGTGATGATATTGTTCTTGGCAAACAAAAGCTACAAGTTGAGCATAGCCTAGAAAGGAAGAAGAATGAGGCATCAGAGAAATTGGGACTTTCTGAAAGGGTGGTTGCCCCTCTCTGCTATGCCAGTGATTTCTCCGTTAATGGACCATAAAAACCAACAGCCCTTCGAAATATACAAGAAAAAACAAAAAACCTTCATACCAAACACACCCCTATACTCTTCTTGCTCTTCCTCTTTCTCCTCTCTTTGTGCTGCTAATGTTGTAAAGGGGCAATGATGATTGATTGCTTCCTTTCTGGGTTATGTTCAATCATAGCAATTGAGAAAATATCTGACCCGTATCTTGGCAGGGTGACCTGGTTATGGCTTTGAAGAGCAAACTGGTGTCTGCAGCCATGGCGTTGTCACTCTTCTCTTGTTCAAATACAGCAAATCTGAGCCCTCAATAACCCATTACTACAACAACATATCCGGAAGTGGGGTCGGGGAAGATGGTGTCTATGCAGCCTTACCCCTCAATAACCCATTCGGGTAGGAAAATCCATTACGGATTTCCAATGAAATTTCTGCTCAGAAGAATGAGGCGTCGGAGAATGGGATTTCTGTAAAGGGTGGTTGCCCATCTCTGCGTTGCCAGTGATTTCTCCATTAATGGACCAAAAAAACCAACAGCCCTTTGAAATAAACAACAACAACAATAAAAACTTCATACCGAACACACCCCTATAGTCCTATACTCCTCTTCCTCTTTCTCCTCTCTTTGTGTTGCTAATGTTTAGAAGGGGCTATGATGATTGATTGCTTAGTTTCTGGGCTATGTTCAACCATGGCAATTGAGAAAATATCCGACCCGTATCTTGGCAGGGCAACCTGGTTAGGGCTTTGAATAGAAAACTGGTGTCTGCAGCCATGGTGGTGTCGCTCTTCTCTTTTGCTTTGTTCAAATACAGCAAATCTGAGCCCTCAATAACCCATTCGGGTAGGAAAATCCATTTTTGGTTTGCTTTGAAATTTCAGCTCTGAAGAATGAGGCGTTGGAGAAATTGGGATTTTCTGTGAAGGGTGGTTGCCCATCTCTGCTGTGCCAGTGACTTCTCCATTAATGGACCAAAAAACCCAACAACCCTTTCAAATAAACAAAAAGAAAGCAAATTGAAAAAACTTCATCCAAATTCCAAACACCCCCTCTATATTCTTCTTGCTCTTCCTCTGTCTCATTGTGCTGCTGCTGTTACTATTGCTGTAAATGGCTGTGATGATTGCTTGCTTCCTTTCTGGGCTATGTTCAATCATGGCATTTAGAGAAGATCTGACCCGTATCTTGGCAGGGCGATCCAGTTCGGTTTTGAATAGCAAACTGGTGTCTGCAGCCATGGCGGTGGCGCTCTTCTCTTTTGCTTTGTTCGAATTCAGCAAATCTGAGCCTTCAATAACGCATTCGGGTCGGAGAACCCGTTACGGGTTTGCGCTGAATAATGAGCCGTCGGAGAAACTTGGATTTTCTGTAAAGGATGGTTGCCCATCTCTGCTTTGCCAGTGATTTCACCATTGATTACCAAAAAAACCACTAGCCCTTTAAAATAAACAAGAAAGAAAAAAGAAAAACAAATTGCGAGCTTCATCCAAAGACACCCTTTACTCTTTCACTGTCTCTTTGTGCTGCTGTTGCTGATGATGTTGTAAAGGGGTTGTGATGATTGCTTGCTTCCTTTCTGGTCTATGTTCAATCATGTCATTGCTCAAAGTTTCATTACAAATGTGTTGTCAAAATATTTAATTTATCTAATAGATCTTTCGTTAAAAATATTTACAGCAGTAATTGCAGCTTGTATCATATAGTTCGTGCTTAATTCTACTGTAGGTTTCCACGTGGCTATTTGGTGACCGGCAAGTGTAATTGCAGAAATTCACTGTAAGTGAGGTTTATATATACAACTTATCTTTATATATTAAAGTAAAAGATATCCATCATATTTTATTACCTGAGAAGTATAAAAAATCATCTCAATTGTTGCATGTCACCACAAACTTATGTTGCTCGGACTCTCCAAAAATGTCGCCGCACTCATGTTGGATTCTCCAAAAATACACTATTTTTGGAGTATCCGACACGCACACTTCGATGTTTTTGAAGAATCCGAGCGAAATAGCCACAAAACAATAGCATGGTACATTTCTGCCAGACGGGCTAAAAGAGAATCTAGATATTAGTACATTGTATAGCTACAAGCTTTTTCCTCGACAAAAGTAACAATGGAGATTGAGCCCAGAAGGAAAATGAGGCCAACAGGGGTAAGAGGGACTTCTAGGAGGGCGGTGTTCCCTCTGTTTGGCCTATGATTTCTCAATTAACAAAACTAACAACCCTCTTATTCTTCCTTTGCTCGAAGAAACCCAAGAAAGCAAATATCTGGCGCCTTCGCCGTCAGGCGTTATTGGATTCTTTAGTCCAAAATTTTTACAATTTCTTGAAATCTATGGAAGAGTAAACATTTTCTGAAAGAGGCCGTGATGATAATTGTTTATCGGCATTTACAAACATGGTCTTTTTTGAGGCCACTTTAAATTCCGTCCTCATTTCCATTTGGGCATAGAGACATCCTGACCTGTATCAGGCTTGGCAAACACCAGCAAGGGCTGTGATTTGAGGCTTCTCTTTCACATGCAATCGGTTATTTTGCATCCATGGCATGGTCGCCTTCTCTTTAACCCAATAGAAAATTGAGATCTGAGCCTCATTTTCCAAATTCCTTCCTAACAACCTGGGGCTGGGAATCGAACACGAGACCTTCTTTGACGGAGAGAGATCAATAACACCCTCTTTATGCGACCGTTGATAGTCTTCAATGGAAAGTTACTCTGGAATTGGTATTCTTCAGTTTTATGTGTTAGACGTGATAACCAACTACACCACCACAACACAACCGTTTCAACTCAGATTGAGGCGTTGGGGAAGTGATTCTCAATGGGAATTACCATCTTCAACATGCCAATGATTTTCTTTATGCTCTAAACCAGACAACCCTTTTTTATGTATATTTCTGTACGTGTACATGTGGATTTGTGCTTATTAATTCAAGCATCTTAGCTTTGTCCTCACTGGCTGTGTTCCAAAGCAATGGACTCGGAAAGGGAAACAATTGGGCTGTGATGATGACGTCTGCACTCTGCTGAGCTAAATATAATAGTGCATTAGATTTTTGTTGCCTGTATCTTGGCATGGTAACTTGAATATCTGTGAGTTGCAGCCATTGCAGGTGCCAGAAAACTCAATTCCCCAGATACACATCTGAGCCTTCAGTTTAAAGCAAAGCATTAACAGTGCTAGTAGTAGTAATACTTGGACCTCAATCTGGTTAATAAGGCTTAATCCAAAGTATCCTAATTTCTTGAAAATTATGCAGCCATTTTCTCAAAGTGGCAGTATGATATTTGCTCATCTGGCTTCAGGATAAAGACAATCAGACCCGTATCTTGGCTTGGTGAACCGCTGTTGCTATGTGATATTTGCAGCCATGGCGTGGTCTCTTTCTCTTTCCCCATTAATAGCCCAGATCTGAGCCTCAAATTGCAAGTAGTTGTGGACATTGTTTGGTGAAAACCCGTTTTCACTTATTTTGAAAGCCAGCTCATAAATGAGGCATCAATGAGAAATTGGAATTGTTTATTTATTTATTTATTTGTTCATTCGGTCAGTTCTGCTACTGATGGTTCTCTTGTCTTGCTGCTGCATGGCTGTGTGAACACCAACAGAGAGAATCATACTAGAAAATTGAGGCAGTTATGATATGGTTCTTGGTAGCCCAGTTGCCAGTTTAGGGCAGCAAGAGATGGTTCTGTTAGTGAATCTAAGTCCAAATTCAACTCAAAACTCGGGGTGACATATATAGAAAACTTGCCATTTTTGGATCCCAGATTCTTGTCCCTCAATTCATTATAATTGTTCTATAATGGCTAAATCCTTTGCTGTTTTCTTTTCCCCTTTTGACCATGGAAGGTATGGTGAATTGGTCAGAACTAAAATACGATCTACTTGTTACAATAGTAAAGGTTTTAACAGTTACGGAGGATTTCGTTGTATTTGGTGCTATTTGTATAAATCATGGCAAAGTGCTGTTACTAAAGAAAGTTTTGATGCCTCATCTCCCCAAGTTCCTTTGCTTATGCTGTCTGCTGATAAAGATGACGATTATGAGAATTTTACTCTGTTTCCAAGGAGAAAACTTCAAGCGGTCTTTCTCCCAGAAGCTAAAGGGCGAGTGTCTTTCAACACAGGGATGGTTTGCACTGTGCAATACACAGCTATAGGAGTGATGACACTGTTGCGTCCTTTCTCACACACCCAAATTCAGCTTCCTCCACATACTTCCTCCAAACACACCCCTATACTCTTCTTGCTCTTCCTCTGTCTCTTTGTGCTGCTGCTGCTACTGATGTTGTAAAGGGGCTGTGATGATAGCTTGCTTTCCTTTCTGGGCTATGTTCAATTATAGCATTGAGAAAATCCTGTATCTTGGCAGGGTGACCCAGTTACAGCTTTGAATAGCAAACTGGTGTCTGCATCCCTGGCGGCATCGCTTTTCTCTTTTGCTTTGTTCAAATATAGCAAATCTGAGCCCTCAAATGAAATTTCAGCTTTGAAGAATGAGGCATCAGAGAAATTGGGATTTTCTGTAAAAGGGTGGTTGCCCGTCTCTGCTTTGCCAGTGATTTTTCCATTGATAACCACAAAAATTAACAGCCCTTTTTAAATAAACAAAAGGGAAAAAATGAAGAAATGTCATCCAAACACACCTCTATACTCTTCTTGTTCTTCCTCTGTCTCTTTATGTTGCTGTTGCTGATGTTGTAAAGGGGGCTATGATGATTGCTTACTTTCCTTTCTGGGCTATGTTCAATTATAGCATTGAGAAAAACCTGTATCTTAGCTGGGCGACCCGGTTACGGCTTTGAATAGCAAACTGGTGTCTGCATCCATGGCTGCGGCGTTCTTCTCTTTTCTTTGTTAAGAAATACAACAAATCTGAGCCTTCAATAACCCATTTAATGATCTTCCATGGTGAGTCTATTCCCGGGTTGGAAAACCTATTGCGGTTTTGTGTTGAAATTTCAGCTCTGAATTCAGAATGAGGGAGAAAATGACAAATCTCTTATGTTTGAGGGTATGTCCAAAATAGTCCCTTAAATATGCACTTAACAATTTTGGTCCTTGAAGTTTTTCAAAAGTTAACTTTTAGACTTTGTAAAATAATTTGATGCAAGTAGTGGGAAAAAAAAAAGAAATTAGCTGGAACCCACATCAACAACATACCCAGTGTAATCCCATAATTGGGGTCTAAGGAGGGTGGTGTGTACGCAACTTTACCCCTACCTTGTGAAGGTAGAGAGGGTGGTGAGTTCCCGCTTATTTTGGGGGATTTCTGGGCTGTTTGACCTTCTCAGATATGCCGATGATTTAGCTGTCAAGCCAAAGAATTTACCCCAAATGCGAAAAGGTTAGCCCTGAAATGAGGCAAAACAGAGAGTGGGATTTTCTGTAAAGGGTGGTTTACCCTCTCTGTTGCGCCACTGATTTTTCTCCATTATAAAACAACCAACAGCCCTTGTTTAAGAAAAAGCAAAAACTGGAAAAACCAAAATGGATTTAACATGTATACTCTGAGATCTCTGTCTTTCTGTGTGTGTGTTTTACGGTGTTGACTGTTGATGAAATGTACATAAAGAAACAGTGATGATGATGTTTCTATTTCTGGGCTAACTAATTTGGGCATTGAGATTATCCAATCCGTATCTTGGTGTGGTGACCCGGTATGGCTTGTGATTGCTGCTTCTGTCTCTTGCATGCAAACGGTGTTTGTTTCTGTTTTGCCTTATCATAACATACATCTGAGCCCCATTTGCTTGAAAAGAAAGAGAGAGAAAGAATCTTTCCATGGTTCAATTTTGAGATATGTTGAACCTGCGATTTTCTACTACAAGCTATAAATCATCTTGCTGTCATAATGTATAATCTTATTTGTTCGGTATCAGCTGAGCATAACCTAGAAAGAAAGAAGAATGAGGCATCAAAGAGATTGGGATTTTCTGTAAAGGGTGGTTGTCCCTCTCTACTCTGCCCATGATTTCTCCATTGATAACCAAAAGGACCAACAGCCCTTCGAAATATACAAGAAAATAAAAATAAAAATAAAAAAAACTGTGAGAGAATCACATGATTCTCTGTGTGGATGACCATCTCGGACGTTCTGGTGATTTCTCTGTGTTGAACTTCTCCGTGTGGATGACCATCTCCGACATTCTGGTGACTTATTTTTGCTTTAAATTTAAACTAGACTGCTGTTTATGCCTATGCATATTTCTTGTGTCTATAATGCATTGTGCATATGTTTCGGTTGTCCTAGTTTCGTCCTCACTGGCTGTGTTTCAATGCAATGCAAACAGAGTTACACGTTCATAATGTCAGCAAGAGGAAACAATGAGGCTATGATGATAGTTTTGCTGAGCTCATTGAGTCGGGCATTAGAGTTCTGTAGCTGGTGTCTTGGCGGGGCAATCTGAATTTCTGGAAATTTGCAGCTATGGCTGGGCACAAAGAACTCAAAGCCCCATGACATAATCTGAGCCTCTTGCATCATTTCTCCATTACCAAAACCAACTGCCCTCTTCTAGTCCTTTTCCTTTCTTTCACTTTAGAAAAAAAAGAGAGCATTGACATCAGCAGCAGTAGTAGTAGTTGGACCTCGTTCTAATTTATGAGCTCAGGTCCAAAGCGCTTCAAATTCCTCGAATCCTATGCTACCAGTTATCAATGAGGCAGATAATATTTGGTTATCTTGGCTTAAAAAAAGGTTGTTCGGGTTTATAGATGAGTAGATCTGTATCTTGGCTTGGCAAAACCCCATGATGATGTGTGATTTGAGACTCCTCTATCACATGCAACTGGTTCTTTTGCAGCCATGGCGTAGTCTGCTTCTCTCTTTGACCCATTCATTAGTAGCCAGCTGAGAGTGTCAAAATTGCAAGTAGTCCTTCTGGACATTGTTTGATGGAAAAATCGTTTCTTAGACAGCTAGCCCATAAATGAGAAATGTGAATAATTTATTTTTTCATTCCGTTTTGCTGGTAAGGCCAAGATGTGAAATCTTGCTGGAAGAAAGTAACAGTGGCTAGCTCTTTCTTGTAACTCTAGCTTGAGAAGATGCACATAATTAATTATCTTTTACTGCTATTGGTTCTTGCCTTGCTGCTGTGTGGCTGCATTAACACATAAACAGTGATAATCATGCTCAAAATAAAGAAAATGTGAAAAATTGAGGCAGTAATGATATGGTTTTTGACAAATAGCAATATTGGTTTGCATTGTTGATATGATACAAGACTCAGTAACTTGGCAGGACAACCTGCTCTAGGTTGCAGCCATAGCATTTCTGAGAAATGTAAGTACCTGATTATAGAGAGATCTGAGCCTCATTCTTCTCGTTTATGATATGTAATATCTTTGGAGTCTTCAATAGTTCTTACTGTTCTCCTTCAGCATGAAGGAATTCATCCTAAATGATAAGTAATTCAAGTAAACCATGAATTAACATTCAAATGAAGCTTTTTTTCATTGTTACTCTGATTGATGAGACTTCTATTGGCTCTATGTTATCACCACTACTTGTCTGAAAAAATTGTTTTACTATGTGTATTTTATGCTTTATTTAATCAGCTTCTTGCTGCTGCTATGTATTTTCCTAGATGTTTTGCTAAACTTGCTTGTTGCTGATTCTTGGATTTACTGAAGCATTTTTCCTCCCAAAATTTTGCCTATAAGCATGGTTTTCTTGTTGAAAGGGCCTATTGGCTTGGTGTCCTCCCAAAACTACTATGTGGTTCTCACCAGCTGATTCTAGCTTGGCTACATACTCTATCTCTCCTTTGTTTGGACAATTTTAGTCCTTTTGCATATGTTTAGCTTATATTTCAAAAGTTTCTCTTTTGGTTGTTCGAATTTCTCATAATCAACCCCCGCCCCCGCCCCCCCAAAAAAAAAAATTATTTTAAACAAAGAGAAAACTCTTACCTTTTTAACGAGTATTGTCTATAATATTTTGGTTGTCTTAGTTTTGTCCTCACTGGATGTGTTTCAATGCAATGCAAACAAAGGTTGGGCGCTCATAAAGTCGGAAAGGGTAACCAATGAGGCTATGATGATAATGTTTGCCGAGCTCATTGTATTGGACATTGGAGTGTTTTGACTGGTGTCCTGGCGGGACAACCTGAAATTTTGCGATTTCCAGCCATGGCTGGTGCAAAGAACCCAATGCCACCATATAATCTGATCCTCCAGTTTCAGAAGCCTTTGCATCATTTCTTCATTACCAAATAAAACAGCGCATTAACTGCACCAGCAGTACTTGACCTCATTCTGATTTATGAGCTCAGTCCAAAGCAGCTCCCTAAATTCCTTGAAACATATGCTATCATTTTCTCAAAGAGGCAGTGATTGTATTTGCTTGTCTGGGCTAGAAAAAAAAAAGGTTGTTTGGGTTTTAGAGACGAGTAGATTTGTATCTATGCTTGGTAAACCTCTGATGGTATGTGATTTGAGACTTATCTATCACATGCAACTGGTTCTTTTGATGTCATGGCACAATCTCCTTCTCTTTGCCCCATTAGTAACCAACTCTGAACCTCAAAATTGCAAGTAGTCCTTCTGGACATTGTTTGACGGAAAAATCTTTCTTTTGAAAGCCTGCTCAGAAATGAGACATCATCAATGAGAAATGTGAAATCTTGCTGGCAAACTAACAGTGCTAGCTCTTTCTTGCAACTCTAGATTCAGAAGATGCACATTATTGTTGATTTGTTGCTGCTATTGGTTCTCGCCTTGCCACTTTGTGGCTGCATTAACACATAAACAGCGAGAATCACGCTCCAATAAGAAAAGTGAAAAACCGAGGCTGTGATGATATGGTTTTTGACAAATAGCAATATTTGTTTGCATTGAGATGATAAGACTCAGTAACTTGGCAGGGAAACCTGCTCTAGGTTGCAGCCATGGCATTTGTGATAAACTGATGATCTGAGACTTATATTAAGTACTAGTAATTCCCAATTTCCTTCTATCGTATTTTTCCCTTTTTTTCAAGATGGCAAAAAGAATTGCTATTTCTCATTTACATATTCTGTCTGGTTATAAATATTGCTCATATGTTTTTAGTTTTGTTCTGAATTACAGTGATTTTTCACATCTCTTCTGCCAATGGATGCCGCATTTTGCTGTCTGCCCTTATCTGTCTTGAGTTGGACAAGCAGTCTAGCATTGACCTGTCTTAGCTCCCAGTGACCTGCTTGGGGAAACCTTTTCGAACCGCAGCATGAGGAATGTCTCCTCCTTAACTATGTATGGCTAATGAACTCGTTGCTCTAGTCTGTTATTTTCCTACTTTGGGCTCAGGTCGACAGTATCTCGGACTTAAGAGCAGATTTTTTTTTTTTTTTATTGTTTTCCAAGTTCATAGTTTTTGACTTGTAACAGCTACTTTGGGCTCAGGTCAATAACCTACAAGCGTACTTTCTTGAGCTTTGACGTGTAATATCCCCTTTACCTACCATTTGTTGTAATTACTCTACCTGTTATCTTTTTTGAGGATTATAAGTTTATTCTTTGTATTGTTGGTGCATTGCATTCTAATTTTAATATTGTATTCATCAAAATAATAATACAGTACAATGTAATGTTTGACAAATCATGAGTATATCTTGTCAAAAATATCTTTTCTTTCCTATATTTTATCGTATTGACTTGAATGGAGGATCAATCGAAAACCAGCTCTTTTTGAGAATTGAAGAAAGCAAGAGAAGCTCTTTCATTGAAGGGTGGTTTGCTGATTGCTTCTCTCTGTATTATTATCCTATGATTTTCCAATAACAATTCCAAACAACCCTTTCTTCTGGAAATTTTGCATCAATGCTCCTATTTTGGAACTGTTCTTTTTTCATACAGAAATTTGCACAAATATGATCTTTTCTTTTTATGTTTCCGCCGGAAAATTCAGTGTTGTCGTTGCTGGTGAGTATAATCAGCGGCTACAACCCCTAATCTTCTTCCCCCATTTATGCGCAATTGAATTCGACCCGACGAGATGGGCTTTTCAAGTAAGGCCCAATTAATTAGGGCACAGTATAAGAAGAGCAGCATTAACATGAAAATAGCACAAATCTCATTAGTTTAAGTATGAGGCGGCGGTGAGAGCTTTAGGGAGTTTCAATGGGTGGTTTTGCCACTCTCTTGTTATTCTCCGCCACCGATGATCACTCAAAATTATTGCACAAAACCACCCTTTTGGTGAAATTTCACTAGACTTTCCTCTGTTCCTAATTGCTGTTACTCTCTCAGTCCCAATTTATCAGGCTATGAAGATTTGAAAGAATTTGTCTTCTTCGGAAGATGAATCAGACACATTTTCCATTGAGCTGGAAAAAAACTGTATCTTGGCGTGGCAGCTCAGATGGGTCTGTGAGAAGTGGAGGAGAAAGTATTCTTTTCTGTCTCATAAGGCTAACTGATGATTGCAGCAATGACGGTTTTTTTTTTAAAGCTTTTTGGTTGTCTGAGAAAAGGCGAATCTGAGCCTAATCTTATTAGTTTAAGTCTGAGGCTGTGTGAAAGCAGAGAGCTTTAGGGAGTTCCAATGGGTGGTTTTGCCGCTCTCTGTCATTCTCCGCTGCCCATAATCACTCAAATGATTACAAAAAACACCCTTTTGTTTGTTACTCCCTCTGTTTCTTTTGTTTGCTATTTCCTACGTTTCAAATAATCTTCAATGAAGAATTGAAGTTTTTTGTCTTCTTTGGAAGATGAAACAGACATATATTCTCATTGAGCTAGAAAAGACTCTATCTTGGTGTGCAGATGGGTCCGTGAGAAGTGGAGGAGAAAGCTCCATTTTTGGTCTTCCTTTTCTGTCTCATAAGTTGGCTAACTGATGCTTGTAGCCATAATGTTTTTTTTAAGTTTGGTTTTTTCCTGAGAGAAGGCGAATAGCCTATTCCAACAACAAAAACAGCATGCCCAGTATAAGCTTACCGAGTTCCTAGAGGTGCTTTTTCCATACGAGTGTGCCTAAAAATGTTTTCTTTTGACTAGAACTCTATGAATGTCAACGTCTATTTTTGAGTTTCTTTGTTTTGATAAATATGTTCCTTTTTTATATTTAAAACTACCCTATTTTTCAATTATAATGAATAGGGAAGCACTTTCTCTGAGATAAGTGTGCCTTAATGTCATCCCTTGTTTTTGAACTCTGTATAGTAATTACAAAGCCTGTGCCCAGATATGTATTCCTTTGTCTAGAAATCTAGGCATTTGAGTACTAACATATATTTTTGAGTTACTTTGTTGCGGATATGCTTAGTTTTCTTATAGGTGAAAGTTCATAATTTCGTCAACCTGACCTGTTGTAGTTTAAACTGTAATTTGATTGTTCATTTTTTAACATGATGTAATACAACTGCATCAATTTATGCAGGAGCACCACAGTTAGTGTTAGAATACAAGCCAAATCATAAATCTTTTGTGAGCAAGACAGTGTATTTATAAATCATATTGGGAGTAAGATCATTTTATAGTTTATGCAAATTTTGCAGTTATTGCTTGTTTTGTGGATACCACTAATTTTTGAGGTTTTTTCCGTCCTATCTAGGTTTTTTTTGGGCACACTAGTGATTGACCTCATTAACTAAACAATAAATCAATACTTCTAGTCTTTGTTCTGTGCATGAAGGAATTCAAATCCTAGATGATGAGTAATTTAAGTAAGCCATGGATTAACATCCAAATGAAGTTTTTGTCATAGTTACTCTGATAGATGACCTCTATTGTCAAGACTACTTTAGAAGAAGTTTCACTAGTTGATTTTATGCTTCATTTTGTCAGGTTCTCTTTCCTGCTATGTATTATCGGTACAAGATGTCATACTTCTTGTTTTATGTTATGTATTATCTTAGGAGTGTTTATACTTCTTACTGCTCTCCTTATATTCAATTTGTTTACTATATGCATGAAATATTTCATCCTAAATGAAATTCAAGTAAGCCATGGATTAGCATCCAAATGAAGCTTTTTTGTCATAGTTACTCTGATAGATGAGGCCTCTATTAGCACTATGTTGTCACAATTACTTATCTAAAGAAGTTTCACTAGGTGATTTTTATGCTTCATTTTGTCAGTTTCTTGTTTTTGCTATGTATTATCTTTTAGGGGTTCTCTTCCATTGATAATGATCTTTACAAGAAGCCATACTTCTTATTGATCTCCTTCAATCAATTTGTTTACTTGATAATTGATTGAAGAAGCCATACTTGATAATTCATGCAAGAAGCCATACTTGATAATTCATATTGATCTCCTTCAATCAATTTGTTTACTTGGTGCATGAAGCAATTCATCCTAAATGATGAGTAATTCAAGTAAGCCATGGATCAACATCCAAATGATGCTTTTTGTCATAGTTACTCTGATAGATGAGGCCTCTATTTAGCTCTGTTATCACTACTACTTGTCTAAAAATATTGTTATACTAGGTCTATTTTATGTACTTAATCAGCTTCTTGCTGCTGCTATGTATTCTAATTGAAAGGGTCTAACATTATTGAAGTATGAAAATAGATAATTGTTTGTTATATGCAAAAAAGAATTGCAAAACAAGGCAACTTTGCCGAGGGGTTCTGTATTTGTTGATCCCCTCTTTTTCCCTGTTGCCGATATCATACTTGGACAAGATTGGAACGATTCTAGTTGATGAGCTAATATATGGTTCTAACCAGCTGATTCTTGCTTGACTACATTGTCTATCACTCTTGATTGGACGATTATATATTTCAAAAGTTCCTCTTTGTTGTTGTTTCAAATGTGTTCAATCAAAAACCTCTACTATTTTTATGAATACATCCCATGGCTTAGGGGCTTTGGTCCAGCGGTGAGAGTGCAACAATTGCTGTGTTATAGAGGTGCATGTCGTGAGTTTGAATTATCCCTTTGGTTTAGGGATAAGAGTGCAACAGTTGGTGTGTTAGATGCATGCCACAGATTTGAATTGTTAAGCTTGGTATTTAAGCAGAGAAAGACAGAGATGACTGGTGCAACGTAAAGTTTCAAACCGTGATCCATTTATGGGGATTTTATGGTTATTAAAAAACAAAAGTGAAATTTGTCTACTGTTTTTCTGAATATTGCTGATAATGTTCACAACTTCTAGAGCCAAGTGAGACCATATGTTCAGTTGGAAAAATTGGTAGAAAAGTAATTGTGTATGCAAGGGTAATACCTGGAGCTAGAGAAGTTCTTGATATAATTCGAAAAAAAGAGAATGTAAGTGAAGAAATTAAGGTAAAATGTTAAAAGATACTCCCTCCGTCCCTTTTTAGTTGTCCACTTTAGAAATGGCACACAGATTAAGGCAACAATGATTAGCACAGTGAAGTTACAATTTTACCCTTATGACAACTTTTCACTTTCAAAATTTACAACCACTTATTTGAATTCAAGTGAAATAAATTGGAGGGAAACAACATACACTTTTACAATTTTCAAGAAGTGTAAATAAGGGTATAATAGGAAAAAATTTGTTGTCCTTTCTTGATTTGTCAAAATGGACAACTAAATAGGGACAACCAAAAAAGGAAATATGGACAAGTAAATAGGGACGGAGGGAGTAATATGACAAACTAAAAAAGGAACAATCACTATCAAAATTATACAATGATTGATGTGCAAGAAATATTAAATAATACTGAAAGGGATGGAACAACAAGAAACTTCATGGAAAATTTTGGTAGCTCAGTTGATGGATTATCTTTTGTCGGTGTAATTTTGATTTCCACCTCATATGAAAGAATAAAGTGATACAGTTCATAACTACTATATCCAAGGTCATATCTTTGTGAAGTTAGTGCATCATGTCTTATCACCTATCCACAATATCCTTGTACCTTTGCATTGGAACACTAGTACATCTCATTTTTACATATTCAAACTATCTCGACCAAGAAAATTTGGAAACTATATTTTAAAAAAATCTAAAAATTGTAAATGTAAATCTTTGTTCTAAAGAAATTGTTTTTTTAATACTTTCAACAAGAAAAATTAATGAACTGGTAAAAAGATGGGAGTATTATAGTTCAAGTGTTGAGGGGACTATATAAGCAAAACCTAAGGGAAATGGACAAAGCAAAAAGCTCAAAAGGGAAAGAATGAGGCTTAAAGAGAGTTTAAGGATTTCTCATTGGAATGGTGGTTGCCACTCTCTACATCAGCCGATGATTTCTCCATTAATGTAAGAATTCCAACAACCCTTTTATCAATTTTGAACAGAGGGAATATATAATTATCAGCTTTGTTTGAAATGGGTTTCTATGACCTTTCAACTCTTTTTCTCTTTATTTTTTCTTTATACTTCTGCCTGAGCATTCAGTGTTGCTGGTGGGGGTGAGTATAATTGGTGTCTTTATAGAGGCGATGATGATTTTTGTCACTTTTTATTCCCTTTTGAGCTGATTAATTGAGCATTTGAGGTTATCCGATCTGTATCTTGGCGGGGCATACTGTTTTTTGCAGCCATGGCGTGGTTGGACCTTCTTTTTGCTCGAGCTTGACACAGATCTGAGCCTCAATTTACTGGTCTCTTCGTCCATTTCAATTGAGGGAGTATTATTAACAGCTTCAGGGGTACTATAAGCAAAAGTTCATAAATAAAAAATGAGGCTAACAGGTCTTTTGAGGATTTTTTTTGTTGAAAGGGTGGTTGACTCTCTCTGCATTCAGCCAATGCATTCTCCATACTGTAAGAAACCTAGCAACCCTTTTATCAATTTAAAATGGAGGAAGTATGTTAGTTTGTGTTTGGTCATATTTCATTGTGAAATTTGAAAATAATGTAGTGTTTGTTTTCAAAATGAAAAATTATATTTGAAAATTAGAGTTGTATTTTTCTATGAATACAAATTGGAGTCGTTTTTTACTTTTTGTGAGTAATTTGGAGTGAAAAAAGTAAAAATATCTTTTTTTTGTTTTTCAAATCCTATGGTTGAATTCCAAATTTTATGGCCAAACTTGTTTTTCGGAGTTCAACTCCAGAAATAATTGAAAAAATTTCATGGACAAACGTATCATCTCGTTTGGAATGTTGTTACATATTGTGGAGGACATGGATTAGGGAAGGAGGTTCGTAGGTAGTAGACTAGTAGTGCATTGTCTTGCGATCTTCCCATACTAGTGGTCATAATATTACTCATATAGTTTCTTGTGTTTTCATTTTGTTACTATTGGAAGTTTCTTGTACTTCGACTATCATATATTTTTGTAGTTACTGTTCAATATGTTTTGTTGCTCTTTCTGGACTGCTTTGGACTGTTTTTCTTAAGCCGAGAGTCTAGTGGAAACCACCTCTCTACCTCTAAAGTAGGGCTAAGATATGCATATACTCTACTCTCTCAAACCCCACCATGTGGGACTATACTGGGTATGTTGTTGTTGGATAATTTGTAATATATAGAGGTCTTAAATTGAACACATGAAAGAACATGACTATTATGAAAAGTCGATCTCTTAAGTTTTATAAATATAAGGACTCTCTGGAAGTAACCCAAAAAGAAAAATATGCATGTATATACAACGACTTTGTTGTATCTTGAAGGCAATTGCTTGTATTTTTCCCAATATGTATACGGGCAATATCTCTTTAAGGAAAGCGATTCTTCATGCCTTAAAGCCATCTTCTTCTTCAATTATATTTCCTATAATTTTGCTAACAGTTGCTTTTATTGCTTCGGATGGCTTGGAAGAGGCGATGATGATTCTTGTAACTTTATTCCCTTCTGAGCTGATTAATTGAGCATTGGAGGTTATCCGACCCGTATCTTGGCGGAGCATGCTGGTTTTTGCAGCCATGGCGTGGTTGGACTCTCTTTATACTCTAGTTTAACACAGATCTGAGCCTCAATGCACTGGTCTCTTCGTCAATTTAAAACTGAGGGAGTAGTATTACCAGCTTCAGGGTACTATAAGAATGAGGCTAACAGGGAGTTTGAGGATTTTCGTTGAAAGGGTGGTTGCCTCTCTCTGCAGTCAGTCAATGATTTCTCCATTATTGTAAGAATCCCAACAACCCTCTTATCAATTTTAAACAGAGAAAGTATATGATTATCAACTTTTGTTTGAAATGGGTTTCTATATGCCCTTCCAACTCTTTTTTTCAACTCCTTTTTAATGCTTCCGCCGGATCATTGATTGTTGCCACTGGAGCTGAGAATAATTGGACAGCTTGAAAGAGGCAATGATGATTTTTGCCAATGTTTATTCCCTTCTGAGCTGATTAATCGGGCATTTGAGGTTATCCAACCCGTATATTGGCGGGGCATGCTCCCAGATTTTCTGGTGGCTTATGCAGCCATGGCGTGGTTGGAATCTCTTATTGCCTGAGCTTAACACAAATCTGAGCCTCAAATTTTTCTCTGTTCAGCTTGGCTTTTTTTGTTATATTTAGGGTATGTTTGGTATGAAGGAAAAATGTTATCGAGAGTTGAGATACAAAAAACAAAAAGCTCAGAAGGGAATGAATGAGGCTACAAAGAGTTGAGGATTTTTCATTGAAAGGGTGGTTGCCTCTCTCAGCATTCAGCCAATGATTTCTCCATTACTGTAAGGATCCCAACAACCCTTTTATCAATTTTAAACGGAGGGAGTATATAAATAACAGCTTGTTTGGATTGTTGTTACATATTGTTTCAGAGGTTTTTATGCCCTTCAGCTCTTCTTTTCAACTCCTTTTTAATGCTTCTGCCGGAGCATTGAATGTTGCCGGTGGAAGCTATGGTGGTGAGTATAATCGGATGGTTTGAAAGAGGCGATGATGATCTTTGTCAATTTTATTCCCTTCTAAGCTGATTAATTGAGCATTTAAGGTTATCCAACCCGTATCTTGGTGGGGCATGCTGGTTTATGCAGCCATGGCGTGGTTGACTCTCTTTTTGCTCGATCTTAACACAGATCTGAGCCTCAATTTAGCGGTCTCTTTGTTAATTTTAACTGAGGGAGTATTGTTAACAGCTTCAGGGTACTATAAACAAAAGCTTAGAAGGAAAAGAATGAGGCTAACAGTGAGTTTGAGGATTTTTCATTGGAAGGGTGGCTGCCTCTCTCTGCTTTCAGCCAGTGATTTCCCCATTACTGTAACAATCCCAACAGCCTTTTTATCGATTTTAAACAGAGGAAGTATATAATTAACAGCTTTTGTTTGAAATGGGTTTCTATGCCTTTGAACTTTTTTTTTTCTTTTTTTTAATGCTTCTGCCGGAGCATTGATTGTTGCCGGTGGAGCTGGTGGAAGCAATGGTGCTGAGTATAATCGGACGGCTTGAAAGAGGCGATGATGATTTTTGCCAATTTTTATTCCCTTCTGTGCTGATTAATTGGGCATTTTGATGTTATCTGACCCGTATCTTGGCGGGGTATGCTCCCAGATTTTCTGGTGGTTTTTGCAGCCATGGCGTGGTTGGACTCTCTTGTTGCCCAAGCTTAACACAGATCTGAGTCTCAATTTTTCTCTATTCCGCTTGGGCTCTTTTTTGCTTAATGTTAAGGGTGTGTTTGGTATGAAGGAAAATGTTTTCGAGAGGTGAGAAACAAAAAGCAAAAAGCTCAGAAGGGAGAGTGAGGCCACAGAGAGTTGAAGATTTTTCATTGAAAGGGTGGTTGCCTCTCTCAACATTCAGCCAATGATATCTCCATTACTGTAAGGATCCCAACAACCCTTTTATCTGTTTTAAACGGAGGGAGTACATAAATAACAGCTTGTTTGGATTGTTGTTACATATTGTTTTAAGGGTTTCTATGCCCTTCAACTCTTTTTTTCAACTCCTTTTTAATGCTTCCGCCGGAGCATTGAATGTTGCCGGTGGAAGCGATGTTGGTGAGTATAATCGGACGGCTTGAAAGAGGTGATGATGATTTTTGCCAATTTTTGTTCCCTTATGAGCTGATTAGTCGGGCATTTGAGATTATCAGACCCGTATCTTGGCGGGGCATGCCACCAACTTTTCTGGTGGTTTTTGCAGCCATGGCATGGTTGGACTCTCCTTTTGCCCAAGCTGAGCTGATTAATCGGGCATTTGAGGTTATCAGACTCGTATCTTGGTGGGCCACCAGTTTTTCTTGTGGTTTTTGCAGCCATGGCGTGGTTGGACTCTCCTTTTGCCCAAGCTTAACACAGATCTGAGTCTCAATTTTTCTCTATTCAGCTTTGGGTTTTTTTTTTTTTGTTTAATATCAAGGGTGTGTTTGATATGAAAGAAAATGTTTTCAAGAGTTGAGAAACAAATGTCAAAAATCTCAGTAGGGAAAGAATGAGGCTACAGAGAGTTGAGGATTTTTCATTGTAAGGGTGGTTGCCGCTCTCTGCATCAGCCAATTATTTCTCCCTTGATGTAAGAACCCCAACAACCCTTTTATAAATTTTAGGAAAAACTACCTAATTAGACACACACACACACACACACACACACACACACACACACACACACACACATATATATACCTTATCAATCTAACCTATACTTCCTTGCTGTGACCATACAGTGCATTCTCTTTTCTCTAATGCTTCTGCCGGAGCATTGATTGTTGCTGGTGGAAGCGATGGTGCTGAGTATAATCGGATGGCTTAAAAAAGGCAATGATGATTTTTGCCGATGTTTATTCCTTTCTGAGCTCTGATTAATTGGGCATTTGAGGTTATCCAAATTGTATCTTGGCGGGGCATGCTCCCAGATTTTCTGGTGGTTTTTGCAGCCATGGCGTTGTTGGACTCTCTTGTTTCCGGAGCTTAACACAAATCTGAGCCTCGATTTTTCTCTATTCAGCTTGGCTTTTTTTTGTTATATTTAGGGTGTGTTCCGTATGAAGGAAAATGTTTGAGTTGAGAAACAAAGCAAAAAGTTCAGAAGGGAATGAATGAGGCTACAGAGACTTGAGGATTTTTCATTGATAGGGTGGTTGCCTCTCTCAACATTCAGCCAATGATTTCCGTTACTGTAAGAATCCCAACAACCCTTTTATCTGTACAATATCAAAGATAAAAGAAAGAACACCCCTGAACTTGGCGCAAATTATCAATTTCGTCTCCGAACTATTGACAGCCTTAAAAAACACCCCTCTACTTGACTAACTAAACTTAGATACATCCTTGATCTGCCATATCAATGACTTAGCAAGCGGTCTCAAACTCTTGTAGGAGCATGAGACTCATAATAAAAAACCGAAATAAGTGTTGAAAACACCCCTAAACTTGACGAGAATTTAGGGGCGTATTTCACTCATGTTGCAAGATCGAGGGTGTATTTTAGTTCAATTAGTCATGTAAAGGAGTGTTTTTAAGGGTCTCAATTGTTTGGGGATGAAACTAATATTTCGCGCAGAGTTTAGGGGTGTTTTCAATACTGCTCTCTATATTAAAAGCATGAAAACCCTTAGAAATGTTGATTGACGTATATAATTAACAGCTCATTTGGATTGTTCTTACATATTGTTTAAAAGGGTTTCTATTCCCTTCAACTCATTTTTTAATGCTTCTGCTGGAGCACAGAATGTTGCCGGTGGAGCTGGTGGAAGCTATGGTGGTGAGTATAATTGGATGGTTTGAAAGAGACGATGATGAGTTTTGTTAATTTTTATTCCCTTCTGAGCTGATTAATCGAGCATTTGAGGTTATCCGACCTGTATCTTGGCGGGGCATGCTGGTTTTTGCAGCCATGGCGTGGTTGGACTCTCGTTTTGCTCGAGCTTAACACAGATCTGAGCCTCAATTTACCGGTCTCTTCGTTAAGTTTAACTTAGGGAGTATTATTAACAGCTTCAGGGTACTATAAGCAAAAGCTTAGAAGGAAAAGAATGAGGCTAACAGTGAGTTTGAGGATTTTTCATTTGAAGGGTGGTTGCCTCTCTCTGCTTTCAGCCAGTGATTTCCCCATTATTGTAAGAATCCCAACAACCTTCTTATTGATTTTAAACAGAGGAAGTATATAATTAACAGCTTTTGTTTGAAATGGGTTTCTATGCCTTTCAACTTTTTTTTTTCTTTTTTCTAATGCTTCTGCCGGAGCATTGATTTTTGTCGGTGGAGCTGGTGGAAGCAATGGTGCTGAGTATCATCGGATCGCTTGAAAGAGGCGATGATTTTTGCCAATTTTTATTCCCTTCTGTGCTGATTAATTGGACATTTGAGGTTATCAGACCAATATCTTGGCAGGGCATGCTCCCAGATTTTCTGGTGGTTTTTGCAGCCATGGCGTGGTTGAACTCTCTTGTTGCCCAAGCTTAACACAGATCTGAGTCTCAATTTTTCTCTATTCAGCTTGGGCTCTTTTTTGTTTGATATTAAGGTGTGTTTGGTATGAAGGAAAATGTTTTCGCGAGTTGAGAAACAAAAGTCAAAAAGCTCAGAAGGGAAAGAATGAAGCTACAGAGAGTTGAGGATTTTTCATTGAAAGGGTGGTTGCCGCTCTCTGCATCAGCCAATGATTCCTCCCTTACTGTAAGATCCCCAACAACCCTTTTATAAAATTTAAAAACGACCTAATTAGACATACATACATACCATATCAATCTAACCTATACTTCCATGCTGCGCTCATACAGTGCATTCTCTTTTCTCTAATGCTTCTGCCAGAGCATTGAGTGCTGCTGGTGGGGGTAGTGGAAACTGTGGGGTTGAGTATAATCGGTGACTTTAAAGAGGCAATGATGATTTTTGTCAACTTTTGATTTCTTTCTGAGCTGATTAATTGGGCATTTGAGATTATCCAACCCGTATCTTGGCGGGGCATGCTCCCAGCTTTTGCGGTGGTGGTGGTTTTTGCAGCTATGGCGTTTGTTGGACTCTCTTGTTGCCCAATCTTAACCAGATCTGAGCCTCAATTTTTCTCTATTCAGTTTGGATTTTTTTGGCTGTATTTAGGGTGTGTTTGGTATGAAGGAAAATGTTTTTGAGAGTTGAGAAACAAAAAGCAAAAACTCAGAAGGGAAAGAATGAGGCTATAGAGAGTGGAGGACTTTTTATTAAAAGGGTGGTTGCCTCTCTTAGCATTCAGCTAATAATTTCTCTACTGTAAGAATCCTAACAGCCCTTTTATCTATACTATATTAAAAGCATGAAGACCCTTGGGGCCTGTTTGGAAAGCCATCCTGGTAATTGTATTTGATGTAATTGGGTGTACATAGAGTTGAGGATTTTTCATTGAAAGGGTGGTTGCCTCTCTCTGCATTCATCCAATGATTTCTCTATCATTGTAAGAATCCCAACAACCCTTTTATCAATTTTAACGGAGGGAATGTATTATTAACAGCTTGCTTGGATTGTTGTTATATATCGTTTCAAAGGGCTTCTATGCCCTTCAACTCTTTTTTTTTTCTTTTCTTTTTTTTGAGGCTTCTGCCGGAGCATTGAGTGTTGCTGGTGGAGCTGAAAGCGGCACTGGTGAATATAATTGGTGGCTTTATAGAGGCGATGATGATTTTTACCAATTTTATTCCCTTCTGAGCTGATTATTCAGGCATTTGAGGTTAACTGACCCGTACCTTGGCAGGGCATGCCACCAGATTTTCTGGTGGTTTTTGCAGCCATGGCGTTATTCGACTCTCTTTTTGCCTGAGCTCAACACAGATCTGAGCCTCACTTTCTCTGTCAGTTTAGGGAAACAAAAGGTTAGGAAAATGGACAAAGCAAATGCTTTAAAGGGATAGAATGAGGCTACAGAGAGTTGAGGACTTCTCATTGAATGGGTGATTGCCTCTCTCTATATTGAGCCAATGATTTCTCCATTACGGTAAGAAACCCAACTATCCTTCTATCAATTTTAATGGAGAGAGTGGAGTGTATTATTAACAGCTTGCTTGGATTGTTGTTATATTGTCAAAGGGTTTCTATGCCCTTGCAACTCTTTTTTTTTCTTTTCTTTTTTTAATGCTTCCGCCGGAGCATTGAATGTTGCTGGTGGAGCTGGTGGAAGCA